GGCATCGATACAGAGGGAGAGGAAGGTGAGGATCATGTAAAGGTAGAAGAAGGTGGTGATTTCTTTGCGGCCTGTGGGACACATTATCTGGTTAACAAGCATTCCTTCCACAAGCTAGGTTGAGAAAAATAAAGACGTACCAACAGCAGTAAACTTCCCCCTCACATGCAACAACATGACCACCGTCATGACTAGAGCAACAATGTGCATCACGCTTGCCGCGCCCTGGAAGATGATGGTGTTGGCCACCTCAATGTTGCGCGCATAGCAGTCCGGCTCAATGCCGACGCCGCTGGCAATCGATGTTATCGGGCCAACTGACGCACATAGAGGGATAGGCGCCATGCGACATATGCTACTGAAATCTCCAAATTTGCCCATGGTTGGCAATATCTAAGGCCGTCGAGGGCCGGGTCAAGCTAAGCGTCGTTCGGCGAGGGTTTCGTGGGTGTCGTCGGGTCCGGGAGAAAAAAAAGCAAAAAGCGACGCAACGGGGCGGGGCCGAGAGAGAGGACGGGGGGATTTGTCGACTTGGTATCAATTCACGGCCTCGGCAGGTTCGACAACTCGGACTGTCGTCGCGGGAAAAAAAAAAAAACGAAATAGTCGAGGTGCGTAAGATTAGGGAGAAGATTGTGTCTCTTTTCGTATTCTTGTCTCGGTTTGTTCGAGTGAGACGGGCGCCTAGTGGAGTCTGTGCTACTGTCTAATAGTCCCGAGTCTGGAATTGGCGGGAAGAGACGAGAGGTTGCCGTTGAGCGAAAGTCGGACAAGCGCGCTGTGTAATTCGGATACGCGATAGAATACCTATTGATTGGCGAAAACGAAGGTGTTGATGAAGATGTTTCAACGAATGTGTTTCGGTGGTTGATTCGACTTGACGACGACGACGAAAACGAGAGAAGTTGGACGACCAGCCACCCGAGAAATGCGCAAAACAGGCTTCCCCGCCGTGTCCCTCGTGTTGTTTGGTTGCGTTGCGACTGTAAGAAACGGGAAAGCTGAAAGATGAACTGAGGGCCAGTGAGTGCAGTGTGGACGCTGAAGCTGGGGGGCGGGCGCTGGCTGTCCCAAGATGGGCGAGCCCACGGGCAGAAAAGGGAGAATCGGGGCACAGCAGGGATCAATGACCAGGTGCCCCATCTGGCTGCCCGTCATTTGGATGCCAAGAGAGCCAAGGTATCCAGCTGGCAAATCAACAATCATCGCTTGCCTCAGTGGAGTAAAGTATGGGCGCCCCGCCAAGCATCCGCTTCTCCGTCCATTTGGCTTGTGATCTTCAAGATCTTCAATATAAAACTCCCTTTCCAACCTCCACGCCTTTCCACCATCTCACCTTGACGTCTTGTAGATATTCACTGCCTCACTGCCTCTTGGAACTGGCGACGAAATGATCATCATTTAGGGTACATAAACACTACTCTTTCTACACTCTCCTTTTCTTTTACTAGGTGATTACGACCAACCAACGACTTACAACCATGATTCCCTGTGCTCTGCTCCTCCTCAGTCAGCTCTCGCCATACAAATGTCAACCACATATCTCGTCTGTCCTGCCCAGCCCAGTACACCACTTTGCAAAGCCCACACAGTCTAGTAACTATTCGTGAAGAACAGACAAAGAAAAACATCATCGTGTCAATGATGCTATCAAGTTGATTTCCCTTTGCCCTTGTACACTTCACCAGTCCCTCCCCAAACGCCATTCGTAAATGGATATATCAAACCACTGTAGCCGCCTCATGCCCTGGTCTTTAATGCGTTATCATGCCATCATTGCCATTGCCACCATCCCCTTCCGTGTCATGCCGAAAAGAACTCTAGCTTTCCCACTCCCCCTCCTCCTTCTTTGTCTCTATGCGTGTTTCCAGACAGACAATGCTTTAATGGGAGGAGGAAACATCGTCTATCAGTGAACCAGCCCAGCCAATGCAAAATGATCAAACGTTTTCTTGTACACCAACTTCCGTGCCCGTACACATACATCGAGTCATTAAAAGTCATAATCAAAGTCATCTCCTCCTACTATTCAGGGAGCCCATGTCGAGTCGCATCACAGGGCGATCAATCTCCAAGCTCCTACTCGGAATGAGCCTGCCACCAGGTGTCCTTGGGTTGGCAACATTGACTCGGCCACGACGATGCGGCCTTACCGGTCCCTCTTCTTCGTCCGCGCTTCCTGACGAGTCATCCTCGTAGTCTTTGTTGGCTGGCAAATCAGAGCCAGTTATCACTTCATTCGAGTCAAAGAAGCCTTCGTCTCCGCTGGTCGGCCTAGGGATGCCTCTCACTGTGGCAACACTCTCCTGGCTGCCGCTTCGGTCACCCATCTCTGGTCGCCCGGTGTCCTCATAGTCTGCGAGCCTGGCAAAATAGTCTGCCAGGCCGTCAACACTAGGCGTACCAATGATGGCATCGTATTGGGGCGGCGGCGTCATCAAATCGGCTTGGAGCGGCGGCGGAGGCTCGTCAGCATCAAATGCCGGTGGGTTGTATGATGGGCAGCGGATAAGGTGCATGGGCCGTTGCCGTTCAAGAGGACTCGGTAGCGTGTGGCCCCGGGCTCGGTTAACAGGCAAGCCACCAGATTCCCGTGAATCATGGACGTGAGCGGCTTGAGGGATTGAAGGTAAGACCGATGAGCTGAGCCTGTTGAGACCCAGTCGACTGCCACTAGGACTCAGGACATCTTGCTCCACGAGCTGCAACTGTCCAAGCGGGCTGGATGCACTCCTGTCCACAACATCGGCATCAGGACAACCACAGGATGTCTGTTGACGCTCGAAGGGCATGGATCCATCTGAACCGTATTGAGGAAGTGCGGTATTCGCCTGCGTCGCACGGCAGTTCAGTACAGTAAACGGGCTGTCGATGCTGATTTCGAAATGGCGTCTACGCTTGCCCAAGGGGTCTTCAGGATCCAGTCGAGATATCCTCATGACAATCTGTTGTGGATTGTTAGTGAAGGACATTCCACGAGCTTCTTTCCGGGGAAATTGCACATACCTTGATCCAATGAAACACATTGACATTCTTCCAACTGCAGTCTGGGTGAAGCCGTAGGTTCTTATCCCGACTCATCATGGCGCATGTCGGGATTTGTACATTCATCTCAAGCTCGGTACTGCCCCAGAAGGTCTCCAAGCCAAGATCCAGATCACCCAGCAAGTTCTCAGTCTGGTTCGGCAACGGTGGCAGTGGCGCGTTTGTCCTGGCTGCTTGCACCATCCTTCGCGCTGCCGCGGACCGCCTGGCCTCTTCTCGTTGCTCGGGGCTTAGTTCACCACCGCTCAGAATGCGGAAGTCGCTGGATTCATACTGCTTGTCAAGGGGTTTCCCAGCAGATTTTTCGAGCAACAAGATCTTTCTCCCAGCATCCTTGCGGGTTACGTGCCTGTCGTTGGTCCAATACTCAATGTTCTCCGTCACAAACACCTTAAGCTTGTGTACTTGAACCTTGGCCAGCGGGGTGAGCTTGAAGGCAATGGGGATCTTGGCGCCAAGGGGAAAGCTCTTGCCAGAGATCATGATGTCGTAGTGCAGCTGATCTTCCCATTGCCTGCTAATAGAGATGGGTTCTGACATTTCAAGCGACATGGAATCCGGCAACCGAACGATGGACACCTCCTTGGTGCCGTGGAGATTGGGCTTGAAGGCACCCGCACGCTCTACCATTGCTTCCAACTCCCACTTGACAGATCCGTACTGCAGTTTGGTCGTCTCCAACTGGTGATGGTCAATGGGCAGCTCAAACGTGTACTCGTACGTACCAGGCTGGAACACCTTGTACCCCTTTGCATAGATCTGGTTTGCAAAGGGAGAGTCGCCTTTACCAAAACTCCGAGAGTTGACAGAATTGAGCGAGAGCCTCTTGAGCTCCTTGGCAGTCAGGCTGGTTGAGTGCCGGCTTTTGCCGGTGAGGTGGGAGAAGGAGCCATTGGAGAAATTGGAGGACAGAGAACTCCGAGGGTTGTGGCTGCACCCACTTCCCTTGAGCGAGTATGTGCACTGGTTTCCATATTCCGTCTCCCACTGTCCGCCATGGATTGCCTGGAAGAAGACCAAAGACTGTGTTCGCAGAACCTGCTCCTCATATGTTTCTGTCTTGTTGGGTGGAATCCCTTCTGGCCATTCTGTCCTCGCTTTACCTACGAGCTTTAATGTCACAGACTTGAGCTTAACGTTCTTGGACACGTTCAGCTGGAGTTTTCCGCGGAGTAAAGCGGATGCGCCGTGACTTTCTTCCCGGGCACGGTCATTGTGGTCGAACCCAGTCAAGAAGACATTGGGCTCCGCCAACACTATCGAACATGTTACACCGCTTCCGGATGCAACAGGCTTCTGGACTTCGGTGATTGATGAACTTGCCGACTTGCAAGTGCAAGCAGACATTACGCTATTCCGGTTGTTGGGTAGCAGCACCATGGGAGATGCGGGTGTAGGAGCGACGGCAGTCATGGCGGACTGGTCGACTGTGGGCTCCGGGCGTACTGTTGGCTCGTACTTGGATCTGCGAAGGTGCCCGATCAAACTCGACGCCCTCGATCTCCTCGTCCTGGGGGCGGTATCGGTGGCTTGGGACGCCAGCGTGGCTGATTTTGGTGGTTTCCTTGCCTTGATGGAGAAGACTGACAAGACCTTGTCTATGACTTTGTGGACCGCTTCCCCGGCCGGGGGTAGTAAACGAACGGGTGGAAGCTGCTCGGATCTTCTTCGTCGAGCTTTCTCCTCGATTTTTCGACGCTTGTTGTGCTTCTTCTCCGCCTTTTTCCTCGCTTTCCTGTCCTTGTGCTCCTTTCGCTTCCGGACCTTTTCAGCAAGGGGATCAGGTCGTAGCTCGTGCGGAATGAAACCGGGAGGATATGCTACAATGTGAATTGAGTGTGGACGGCGTTGACGAGGCCCTATCAAGGGGCTGGGAAAAGAAGGGGTTGTTGGAGATGCTGGAGGGTTGCGCCCGTTGCGACCTGTCGTAGGGGTGTAGTAGATGGATCCACGAGAAGATGACGAGTACGGCTGACGTCGCTGTCGAATACGTTGCTGGGGGCCTGTTGAATACATTGTGGGCTAGATTAGAGACTGATCCTGGCTAGGCGTGGTCTGAAAGGTGAGAGTAGACGGGAGCGGAGATGTGACTGTTATGCTACCACCAGCAGCAACACAGTTTGATGGGTCCGCCACGAAGCGGATGCAGAGAAAGGTGGCAGGAGGGTGACCTGAGAGGAGGATGAAAAGAACGGCAGAAGACCAAGGTGATAACAAAGAGTGGAGTGGAAAAACGTTGTGCAGTGTGTAGTAGTCCGGCAGCAGAGGGGCCGAAGAGACGGGAGAAAATCGTGACAGGGGGGGAGGGGAGTTTGTGGACTTGACGGGAGTATTTAGGAGGAAGAGGGAGAGGGGGAGTGGAACTTGGGGAGGAGGGTTTGGCCAGCAACGGGATACAATGCGGTTGTGCCAGAACCAGCAATGCCTGCCGGTCCGGGAAGTGAGGTGAGGTTGGTGGTGAAGTGCGTGATGGTCACGGTGGTGGAAGTGGAAGTGGAAGTGGAAGTGCCCCTGCTAGTCGTAATAACAACCGTTGGTAGTAGTGTATTACGGGAAGGCGGGAGTGACGGGACGAATGAGACGGGACTCGGAGCCTGGAACCAGCGTCCTCCATGAAACCCATGTGGAGTGATGGGATCTGGAAGAGGGCGGGACCTGGGACGGGGACGGGGACGGGGAGCTGATCTCTCTTTCAAGGTTGGGGACGTGGTGCCATGTTGGACAGGTTGGACAGGCATGATCCGTATCGAGCAGGTTGATGAAGACGGAAAGAGCGACCATTTCCTCCCTCTCCGCTCTCCACCAAGACGAGTAAGCAGGCATATCGCCTTGTGACGATACGGATACACAGCTCAGTCATCCTCACATTATCCCCACGCTGAACCATGATAAACCATGACCCAACGGTGCACACACACTGGACCGTGTACACCTCACAACAACCATTCACAGGGAGACCGTGACGATGGAACTATGACATGGACCTGGGGGGATTTGAACCATCTCACACACGGCACTCTCAAACGTCAATTTGAGCCATTCAGCGCACTGGCGCTGCGTTCGCCATGCACAACGCACGCTCATCTCAGCTTGACTCCAGTCAGGAGTGACAAGGTAAGGCTGGCTGAGCGAAACTTTGTGTAAACCAACAAAGAATGGCAGATGGCCGTCAGACTAGTCTTAACAGCTGCACCTGTGCATAGGTAGAGATGCCGCCAGCGAGTGGCCGAGATCGGATGAGGTACCGTAATGGTCCATGTCATCAACATGCTGGTGAAAGGGGAAAGGGAGCAGTTGAGGTTGGGATGATGACAGTGAGATGATGGATGGAAGGGAAGTCGACTGGACGTTGAACTCCCGCCCGCCCATTACACTTCAGTTCCATCCTGCTATGCGTGGATGTGGATGTGGATGTGGATGGGATTGTGCATGAGGTTCTGTCTGGATCTAGACTCAAACTGCCCCATACTCGGGGTACGTTGAGATGGAAAGAGCCCAGCTGGGGACATAGTGGCTGTGCGGTGGGGGAGGGAAAGTGCAACAAACCGCAACTGGTGTCCTCCTCCTCCATTTTTCTCACATTTTTCAGGTGTTGAGAAGAGAGGAATGCGCATAACGCCGATGCTGGCCAAATGCGAATAAGAAAAGAATAAAAAAAAAAGAGGCACCGCGGTAAAACTAAAACACTGGGGGATGCAGGTTGCCATGGGCGCGCGTGTATGTGATATAGTAAAGTCTCATATAAAGACAAAAATCATGACACGTACCTGTACCTCTCTGATCATGAGCACGCCCGCTATCTCCGCGCTTCTATGGCTGCTGGGCGCAATCAACCGTCCGTGTTATCGGGTAGTGGTGAGCTGTTTGGGTGGTACAATAATTTGCAATCCCGACCTGCACAACGCTCGCTCTGTGTTGTTGCTGTTGCCGGTGTGTTTTGCAAGATGTGCAATATCAGTACGACAAGGCCCAGGGTTGGTCGTTGCGTTGGTCTGGGTCTTTGTCGTAAGAAAAAAGAAAATAGTCCGTTCCTTGTCGGGCGGCTCAGCAAGTGTTGGTTATGATAGCAAACCGCTTGACCCAAGAAAGAAGCCGCGGTGCCGGAACGGCCGAAGGGAGGACCGGGCGTTCACTCAGTGTGCCGTTGTTGGTCTTTGTGCGTGTGGCAGTGTCGCGCCGTAAGCCGAGGTGGCGGTGATGAGGATACTATGGTAATGGCTCGAGATTGGGTGGTAATAGTCGAGGGAGTCGTGTGCTCGTTGATAGACGTGGAAAAGGTTAAGCAACAAAATCAATCAGTCTGACTGGTGAATCCGGCAAAAGTGTCTCAGGCCCGGGAGTTGTTGAGTTGAGGTCGGATGGTCACGCTACGAGGGTGCCAGGATGACGGGATGTTGCGCGCGGGCGGTACTTGGGTAACCCTCTGCAGTAGGATATGTATGTATGTATATCCTCGGTCTTTGCTGGCCAAGGTTAGACTCGTGGTGTCGTTGGGTCAAAGATAGATAGATATGACGGACCAGGGCGCAGGGAGGGCGTTGGTAGTGTACAAGACTGGGGACCTCGACGCGGCGTAGGAAAAAAAAAAAAAGAGTTGGAGCCAGGAACTTGAAACAAGAGGCTGTCGGGACGGTGAAAGGGGATGGGGAATTGAGGGACCGTGGTAGCATGATATTACCAATCGACGCTATGAAAAAGCAAAACACCAAGTCAATGGAGAGCAAGACCCAGCATTATTTTTGCAACTCGGGAGGCAAGGCGAGGGAAGAAACACCCTGATTTTCGCGCCCAGGACAGGACTCATCATCGTTCCCAGCTGGCTCTGGATCTCCATTGGCCCATGTTTGGGTCTCAAGAGTCTGGAGACGGTCTGGTCGGAGATCAAGGTTGTCTTGGACGAGATGCAAAGACAGCCATGGGGGACGCCATGATCTCCACCAATGCAAGTATGATGTATTCTCAACGCCCGAATCCCTACCATCCCTGCCTGTGCTGCCCTTTTTCCCACTGCCGCTAACAGAAAAGGTGGAGGAACTGGGCATTCTTGGCACCGATAGGGTCGCACTCGGTGGATACCAGGGCACAGGTCCGCCCGAACTTTGTGATGAGGTGCCAGAAATGCCCTTTTTTTCCCTAGCATGACACTCATCGATCGTGTTCCGTTATCGCTCAGCACTTTCTGACAGAGACTCCCGAGGGTCCCGGACGGGCAAGATGAAGACGGAGGATCATGATGGAATCGATATTCTGTTATTGCGCCCAAACTGTTAATAGACAGACGACCTACTTAGGTAGGTAGCCAACCGATGCCGATGTGGCCGCCCGCGTACCTTAGACTGGCAATAGTGTCCATGTACACACACATTCACCCACATGCCATATACACCTACCACGACTTGTGAATCAGTCCAGAAACGGAAGAGGCACGCATTGGATCGAACAAGGGGAAAAAAAGTGAGGATGGCACCGAGACACCAACGGCCAAACTTAAATCCAACGAACCTTTCAAGCATGCTTTGATCCTCCCCTCCTCTACAATACACTACATCGCCATCTACAGCACATCGGTATACCTATACGTACATATTTGCTTCCCTCTTCCCTCCCGTTGGTGCTTGTGCAGCCGCGGTAGCTTAAGCGGCGGCGCATTACAATACGGCACGGCACTCGTTGAAAACTTTTGAGGTGTGTTGATCATTGTGGGTGAGAGACATATTTGATTTCAAAGACAGATCTGAAACTGTCAGGTTGTTGTGTACCTAGATAGATTGACGCTTTTGGACAGCACTAAGTGGGTATTAACCTACACTAATATGTATGTAGTTTGAGACCGAGATATCTCGGTATTTCCACATCCAGATACATACGGCGTAAAGCAGTACCTACCTACCTCTACCGTATAAACTCGGTCGATTGGCAACCGCCCATCTCCTCTTTCAGCGCCGGGCAGGGCATATGTTGGCGCCCCGTAAGCCAGCAGATGCCAGAAGATGTGTCTGTCCTGTTAATGAATACTCGAGGACATTGCCCACCACAGTAACTTGCGTGCGTTTTGATGTACAGCATCGGGCTTGTCCTGTATACCTCTATGTCCTGTCCGGCGCTCAAAGAGGAGATTGACGGTTGCCAATCGACCGAGTTTATACGGTACGCCAGGTCCCCTCGCCCCTCTCGGCGATGCATGAACGGCTGTCCTGGCACTTTCAGCCTGTGTCGTTTTTGCCTTGACATCCGTCTGCCAGGGACATGACTCTATACATACGGGAATAAACGGCACAGAATTCCCCTTCATTGATTCCGTCCCCATCAAATTAACTTTGCTTGTCCAGGAGTGTCCAACTATGCAGAAAAAATGCGAGGAAGGAAATTCCCGTCCACTAACAGACCGACCAGCGCCAAGCAGCACAAGCATTGACAATGCCCCAGGGGTACTTTGTACACTAAGGAAGGCACAGGGAGCGCCTCCACAGCCCCCATTCCCTACGTCATTATAGCGGGTACACACAAGTGTGAATCAGGGCAGGCCCGGGCACCAGTTCCACGCTTCCCTCTAGCTGCTGACCTATTGGGTACCAAGTGGAAAATACACTACAGTCTCGCTGGGCACCTTCTTCGCTTCGTTGTCGCTTCTTCGTCTTTTTTTTTTTTTTTCGGGTTTTCTTCTTCACTTTGAGATTTCCCCCTCGTGCTGGTCGATTCACAAACATCCAATACCGAGGCCCCGAAGCGAATGCAACGCGCGACTCGAAAGGGAACTGCAGACAAACACTTCGTGACGCGCCATGCCGGCCTGTCACCTTTACTAATGCCATTCTTGACGGCCCATGACACAAAGTGCCCGTTCATACACGCCCAGCGGGCGAGGTGCCTCAGCCTTGAAGTCACCGAGTAACTTGAATGAAACAAATGAAGGGATCGCCGAGGCTTTGCTAGTGGCTGTATATTCTGGGACACCTTGATGGCCTGACAGCCATATTTACCATGCAGTACACGTGTAGAGGTATCGAAGTCCATGGAACGGACAACCCTCCGAGATCGCCCTTCCATACACCTTCGCCATCGCCATCATTCCCGCGACACTTTGCGGTTTCTTCGGCTTGTCGTCGTCACGGTACCGTAGCATGATCGACCGCCGCCTTAGCTCGCTTAGCTTGTCTGGTGCTCGTGGGCTGATCATTCCCGTCGTCGAATCAGCACTGCCGCGTTTCACATCACAGCCCTGGGCCTGACAGAGCCAAGGGACTCGGAACCCATCTTGGCTTTCAGTTACCATGCATTCCACTCGCTTGAACGATCGTTGCCCTGACTTTGATGACTACGGCTAACCAGAACTGAACAGAAATGCTTCCTCCAGACACGCGGTTAGTCCCTCCAGAATCTGCGAGGTTGTGGTTGTCGTCGAATCACGGGCCGGTGATCCTCATCTGCCCTCCGTCTTCGTATCCTCTCCAAGTCCAAGATACTCTCGTTCGAAAACACCTTTCCGAACCGAGCCCTCGCTGCCCCGCCGAACCGGTTCGGAGGATGAGCACCCATATTCCAACGCTCACGGGCAGGAGCTGGAGGCGGTGCCGGCCGCCGCCTTTTTGGCTCTCCGTAGAACCTCTTGGCCCATGCTCTCGCTTCCTCCTCCGAGTTGTTTAATCTGGTCCTCAGCTTGTCCCTTATGTGCACCTCGAGCTCCCTGAGCGTGGGCCGCGATAACGGAGAGTGGTACAAGCACTGCGCAACCACTCTTCTCAGATCTCGGTCCGTGTCATCGTACCGCCCAGAGTACAACAGATCACCCCCGTAGGTAGCATCTTTCACCGGTCGGTCGAACACCCTGCTGGCGTATACAAACGGTTCCTTTTTCTCATTGGGCCAACACAAGGTGATCAAGGCATACATGGTCTGAGAACGGCCCCAGTTAGCTTTTGAGCGACAAGCATCTAGTCAAGATTACATACCCAACCCATCTGCCAAAGGTTCATGCTTTCTCGATAGTTGCCCGCCGTCGGTGCCCCGTCGGAGGCCGGTGCGGCGATGTGCCAATCCCATTCTTCGGTAAACTGTTCAGGTGTGTAGAGATAAGCCTTGCCAGACTGGCGGGCATACCATACTCTTTCCGTCTCTCGCCGTGCGCGGAAATTGAAGATTTCTCCTAAGCCCAAGTCGCCAATCTGTTTGAGCCATTATCAGTTGATGTTGTAACCTCTCTTATCTTGTCTGAACGGTTCACCTACCTTGTGTATCGGCGCAATTGCATGGTTACGTTGTCCAAATGTGCCAAAGCCTCCCACCAGGACTATTGCAATCAGTAAGTCTCTTCCATCCATCTTCAATGGTCATCGGCCATCCACTCACGATTAGTAGGATCAATATCAAAGTGAACCATTGTATCTCTCGGGCTCTCGTTGAAATCATTAGCTGACTCTTCCGCCCTCCACTTCGTTCCGGGGTAAGCCAAAGCGACCAAGCCGCGAACAAGGCAATCGAAGATGGTCCATAGTGCCCTGTCGCTGAACGTTTTTCGTTCCTTAGCCATTTTGACGATCCATTTCTCCAAGGTGCCACGCTCCATGAACTCGAGAAAAAGGCCGCCGGCTGCGAGGTCACTCTCTTCGATGGCTTCTTCGGCGGCGAGGTTGTACATGTGGAGGACGTGATGGGCGTCGCGCATCAACTGTAGGGAAAAGAGAATTAGCATAGAGTTCTTTTGGTTGACAGTCTCTGACCTGATTCTCTCTCTTCTTCTTCTTCTTCTTCTTCTTCTTCTTCTTCTTCTTCTTCACGTTTTCTCATCCAGCTCCAACCCACTTTCCCACTCACTGAACCGCCTACACTATTACTTCCCCCCAGGCAACCCATCTTGAAATAAAAAGCAGAGTATAAAAAAAAAAAAGAGAGAAGCAAACACACCTCATAATTCCTCCTCTCCTTCTCAATCGTATCCCTTCCCTCCAACTCAATCTTCACCACCACCTTTTCCCCTCCCCCCTGGCCCCCTCCAGGTCCAGGTCCAGGTCCAGCAGAAGACATACTAAACAAACAAGCCATCCCGAACCCTCCCCACCCCAACACCTTCTCGAACCTCATCCCCTCCTGCGCCAGTAGTCGTTCCAATCTGCGCGCCCGTCTCTGCACCCCCGTCGACGGCCCTTCCTTCTTTTCATCCTCCTGACTCTTTCGATACGGCTCCGGCTCCCGAAACGTATGTCTCCCCGGATGAAGATGATGAGGAGGCGGGGGCCCAAAGCCTGGCCAGCGCGCAGGTCGACGACGGGGGAACTCGAGGTTGTGGATGGCCTCTCGGCGTTTTTGGCGGGACCAGGCCGAGGCTCGGCCCATGCGGTGAAAGGCAAAGTAGTCGGTTTGTTCGCGTTGGACGTTGCGGAGTCCCATCTTGTCGGTGGTGATGATGGCTCAGGGGAGAGAAAGGCTGTGGTGGAGGAGGTGTGCACAGGCGGGTTATCTTGGTGGCCCGGTGGGTACTTTATTGTGAACGGTGAGTAGTCTGTGATACTAGGTTGGCACCTCAGAGACTTGTGTGAGTTGAACAAGGTACAGTGATGCTAATCTTCTAAGCCGGGTAAGTATGTCAAGAAGTGTCTTCTCACTCTTAGCCGGCGTCAACTGCATGGAATATACTATTCGTAAGTTGGTGTTGATACGTTGTCAGCAATTTTGAGGTTCTCCGAGAAAGCGACATCCTTCTTTCTCTAGAATCAAAATGTGGCTTGAAGAGCCAGGCTAGATTCAAGGCCTCCATAAAGACCATCAGCAGTCCTTGGACAAAGCATGTAGTCCAAGGTCAATGGGAGCTTTGGGCGGTCAACTCCAAAGGTGTAAGATCGGAGCCCATTCAAGATTATCCCGGAAGCGGGAGGACTGACAAAGAATAGGCCACATATTTCAAGATGATCAACTTACTGTTCATAAACTCTCATTGTTCACCACCACGGAAAGTCAGAACAGGTCCAAGTCCAAAGTCTTGTATTATTATCATCCAATGTCCTCCTATTTGATCCTCCTCCATTACCTTCAATATCTGGGTATCCTACAATCGTCTCGTCTTGTACACATGACCACCGCGTTTCTAACTGTAGCCCAAACAAGTTGCCCTGGTCATGATCCTATCGTTAACCGTCATAAAAAGCCATGAAAAAAACCTCCTTCGCGCTTGCCGCCCATTCACGTTCTTTCTTATAGTTGCGCTTCGCGCCACAAGATGCCATGCTAATGTATGTGTATGCCAGAAATGACGATGCCTTGCCCTTTTCTTCTCTTTTTTAATCCAACGTGATAACCACTCCTGAAGCTTTTCCATAAGATACAAGGAGAGCTCATACAAAAGGAATGTTGGAGTGGGTGTACATGAAGACAAATGAACAAGTGAATGCTGATTTGGCAAATTGCGCAAATGACAAATCGCGAAATGTGAGTATGTGTCATGGACACAGTTTGTCGGTGATGGTCGGACATGGCAGGAAAGGGGAAAAAAAGAAAGAGCGGAAATACCGGTTGGCCGGTGGCGGGGCGGAAAAACGTCTAGCGCTCAAAGCCAGAGCGACTTCCTCTTCTCCTTGTGTTTCTTCCTGTCTCTGTATTCCCTGGCCGTTGTCAGCTCAAGGTTCCTTTAGATACCGGCGGCGTAATGAAGTAAAACTGACACGGCGCTTCTGTCGCTGGAGTTCCGCACGACGACCATATCCTTGTCCTTCTTCCTCCTGCTCCTGCTGCTGCTCGACTTTTCCTCGTACCTATCACGCGACGACGCCCGAGACCTGCTGTCGCGGCTGGATTTGCGATGATGGTGAGCGACGACCAGTGATGTTTGAAGACCCTCGAGCTGGCCGCGAGCTGAGCCCAACTGGGCCGCAAGACGGTTGTTCTGGTCTCTCAGGTAAGCAGCCTCCTCCATCCGACGCTCGATCTCATGGTGCTTTGCATCCAACTCGGCCCTGAGCTCCGCCGTGGTCACGTCGGGATCCGAGTTGAGTTCGTCCTGAAGTCGAATGACCTTGTCCTGGAGCTCCCTCACCCGCTTCACAAGCTCCTCCCTGTTTGCCATGATGGAAGGGAGTTGGTCGGCCTCAGCCTGCGCCTTGTTAAGCTTCGCTTCCAGCCTGGACACCTTGTCCTGAAGTTCAGAAACCACTTCACGGACTGCGTCCCTCTCGCCAGCCAGGGCGGGGACCTTGTCTGCATCGCTTTGTAGCGTCGCGACACGAGTCTCGAACTCGGCAACCTTGGCCTCCAGCTCAGTGACCTTGGACTCCAGCTCGACCTTGGAAACGCTGAGGTTGGCAACTTGGTATTCCAGCTCAGCCTTGGCGCTTTGTAGACCTGGAACCTTGTCTGCCTCGGCCTGGAGAGCGGCGTTGAGCCCAGAAAGCGTCATCATGTTGCCCTTTGCGGCCTCAAGAGACTCGCGCATTCTCGCCAACTCTTGCTCGGCATTGAGCTTTTGAGTGGCAATCGACACGTTGGCAGTCTGCGCTCCCGCCAGATCGGTGTTGAGGGTGGTGAGTAGTACCCGTCCATTCAACCTCTCAGCCTCCAGATCCTCAATTTGCTTCTTCAGGCCAGCCTTGTCGGATTCGAGACCCTCGATCAGCATGCGGAGGTTGACACCTTCAGCCCTGAGCACGGCAATCTCACCCTCCAACGTGCCGACCTTGTTACTCTGACCGGCACTGGACATCTCAAGCTCATCAATGCGCGTGGTGAGAGCGGTGGACCTAGCCTCGGCTGTGGTGAGCTTGCTCTCCAAGTCAGCCCGAGCTGCTTCCACTGCGGCCTTGGCCTCCTCCAGTTCCGCCTTCTCCTTCTCCAGCTCGGCGATTCGCTGTTTAAGCTCCATCTCTGCCTTCTCTGCCGCTAGAGCGAGCTTCTGCTTGTCCTCCGCAGCATCATCAATCAGCTTTTGACGCATCTGGTCGCCAAGGTGCTTCGCATCGGTGAGAGTGGCAACCTCGCCAAGAAGCACTTCTTTGGTGATCCTCAACTCATCGAGGTTGGTGTTCAACTTTTCAATCTCCTTGTCCCTCAAATCACGTTGCTCTTCGAGGGCATTGTTCGTGATCCTCATAGTCGAGATTTGCTGCATGAGACGAACCTCATGTTCGGACCGATCTCCCTGCAGGGATTTGATATCTTCCTCCAGACGGGTGACGGTAGCCTTGAGGGTTTTGCTAGTCTCCTTGAGATCGTCCCTTTCTTTCTGGACTTCGCTGAGCATTGCGCTAGTTGCTGCACAAGTAGTCTTGTACTCGGCGGCGGTTCTGGTTTCGTTGTCAAGCTTGCCTTGTAGCTCAGCTTGCATCTCAGCCTTTTCCGCACGCGTAGCGTTCAGTTGTTGCTCCAGCTCCGCCATCCTGCGGCCTTGCATATTGAGGTGGTGTTGAAGCTCGTCCATCGTTTGTCTCTCTGCCTCCATCATGGCGACAACCTCGTCCTTTTCGTGGTAAGCGTCGTCTCTTTCGTTCTGCATTGCCTCGACATCATCTTCCAGGGCGGCCTGGTCCTCGAGAAGTTCCGCCACCTCGGCCATGCTCTCCTGAAGCTCCTCCCGAAGTTTGCGCTGATCGTCACGCAGGTGAATTACCTCGGCCTCCTTGTCACTGAGCTGCGACTTGAGGTTGTGTTGGCCATTGCGCAGCTTCCTGTTCTCTTCCTCCAGCTGGTTCATTTTACCCAAAAGGTTCTCCTCCTTGTTCTTCTGGTACCAAGCCTTCGCATACTTCTCATCCAGAAGCTTTTCCTGGTTCTCACGCAGGCCTCTCGCTTCGGTCTCGAGCTCATCAATCTTGCGAAGAAGCTCCAGCTCGGACTCCTTGTGCTCGTGCTCTTTGCTCAGCAGCACGCTTTGTCCGTTGCGCAGCTCCCTGACCTCAATCTCGAGGTTGGCGATCTTGCGTTTAAGGTTTGTCTCCATCAACTGTTGTTGCCTCAGCTCTTCTTGGCTGGAACTCCGGTGATGCACCCTGATCTTAACAGATGGCAAAGGCTCACTGTTTGTTCGGGCAACGACCATGTCAGTCCGCGACGAGGGGCGGGGAGATGGTTGCGGCACGCGAAGCTGCGAACTGCGAGGTGGGTGGTTGGAGCTAGCAACGCTGGTGTCATCAGAATCAGACCCGGTGGTGCTACGGGTAAACCGGACGGTAGAGTGTGCTGACTTGTTGGACTTTGAGGAGGATCTGAAGATGCTGGTTGGTGTTACATCACTGGCGCAGTCCGAAAGGGAGAGTCTCGAGTCGACCGTAGTCGCCAGAGTGCTGGTGCTGTTGGAGTGCATCGAGGATTCCGAAACGGACTCGGTTTCGGTATCCTGATCGTGATAATCGTGGGGTCGGTTGTCAAGGACATAGCGTGGCGCAGGAATCGTGCGCACATTGCTAGGAGGAGGGCCGTAGGGACCATCGTGAGGGCCCTGAGGAGGGGTTGGCACCCGGGAGGGGCGTAGGTTAACGGTGGCACGACGTTCTTCGGGGAGGTTGATTATAGGGATCTTGGCCCTGAGCACCCTGCGTGGGAGGCCAAGCGAACCAGTGGTTGCGTGGTGTGGGAGGGGAGGGCGTCCGGGCATTCCAGGGGCCAGATGGATCTGAGAGGGCATGGGAGCTCCTCCCCTTGAGGGGACTCTTTGAAGAGCCATATGAGGGCTGGGCGAGGGTATGCGGGAAGCAGGTGATGGCAATCGAGGAGAGGGTATCCGTGACGGAGAGGAAAGTCTGGCCGGAGAGGGTATCCGGGAAGGCATGGAGAGGCGCTTCTGCTGTAGGCTCGTCGCCATGGGCTGGCCATTCATGACCATGGGGTTCATCATGGTAGGGCCACCCGAGAGAACAGAGCTGCCGACATCAGAGCCGCCCGTCTCGGAACCGCTTCCTACTTCGGGGATGTTGGACGAGGCCAAAGATGAGTCCGAGTTTCGTCGAGCACGAGACGGTGTTGGTGGTGGGCGGCCGCCCCTTCGGAGAATAGACTTTGGTTGACCGTTTTGAGGAGGTCCCCGTCTGTTTGTGAGTTGGAGAGGCCAGCTCGAAGTTCTGTTGGTGGGAGTAGCGGTGCTGGCAGTGCTGGCGGTGCTGGCGGTGCTAATAGTGCTTCCCGTGCTGCTGCTGACATTGCTGAGTCTGTCGTCCGAGACAGAGAAACCCCTCATGTGCCCCGGTCCTCCACCTGGCCTAGGTCGTTGTGGGTATGGAGATCGATCTCCCATCGTGTCTGTCTTGATGTGTGGTGGTGAGGTTGTGATGTTGTGATATGAGGCTTCGGTGTTGTGTTTGCGGTCGTGTGTGTGTCTGCGGTTGTGTTCTGTGTTCGACGGCCAATGCTTGCTCGGGCGTGCAACAACAGAGTGCAGACGGGTGTATATGAATATGTACCGGTTGTCAGGTTTTCGAGCTCCAAGCGAGAGTGTGTGTGTGTGTGTGTGTGTGTGTTATGTGTGACTGGGCAGGTCTAGGTCTGGCCAGGTATTGGAAGGAGGTATATGTGTGTTTGAGTGGGGGGGAGGGATGGATGTATTAAGAGTGCTTGGTTGGTTTGGGTACTAAGTAGGTAGGTACGGGTGGTTTGTTTGTGACAAGAACGAATGTGTGTATGTAGGCAGGTAGTGATTAGGTATTATTACGAAGATGGTACTGACTGAGAAGGAGTAAAAGTAGTTCAGGTCGGGAGTTCAGGATGGAAGAAGGGACCTCGAACGCGGGCTTCAGCTGAACTTGTATAGTCACAAATGGGCATTCACACGCTTGCTATGTTTCGCCGCCTCTTCTGACTGTCTAGGTACCTCTAGCAAGCAGCTAGTCTGTCTAGCCGCTGGGGACCTGGATGGAGACCTGAAAATCGGCCCCAAGGTGCGTTGAGCTTGTTATTCGGTGAGGAGAGCCAAAGTGCGGCTTCCCTGCCAATCCCGAGACTTGTGCTGCACGCAAGAGGGAGGGAAAGAGAAGTGGAAACAACGAAGCGGGCCCCGATACGTGTTCCCTGGATGGGCCTGTGGTTATAGGGTGCTGGTTCTAGGCTGTTGCTGGACCGCAGCCCAGGGCCGTGTAGGTAGACGGGAACCAAGGGAGGCTGTGTGTGGTAAGGTTCGGTTATGTTGTTGTCGTTGTTGTCTTGTTCACTTTTGCTGTCTGCCGTCGTCTGATGCGTGATCGATGGCAATGGATGCCCGGTGAGCGGGCTGCCGGAGATCTTTTGTTCTTCTTTTTGACCCGAGGAAGGAATGGAGCAGGACAGTCAGTAGAAGTGGAAATTGCAAGTGGCCCAAAGCAGGAACCGGATTGGATTTCCACCTAGTTTGTGTGCATCTGGACTTGAAAGTACACTAAGGTACGAGGGAAGGTGCAGTGCTCGTGCAGTTGCAGGTTGTTGCAGTTGCGTCTGCAGTAGTGTAGTGGGCAGTGGGCAGGAGGTAGCAGACAGTAGTGGTGGTCGGTATCGAGGTCACTCGATGTGTACACTACGAGTCTCTCTGTATGGGAAGAAGCCCAGGACCAGGGACTGAAGATCTTCAGCGTGGGCCGAAGCACGGAAGGCGGGCAGGAGGCGGGCATGAATGGCCGGAGGGGCACCACCAAAGCCATCATGCAGAGCGGACCGGGGGGTCAGAGTAGAGTAGGATGAGGACGGGACTGACAGCATGCCGTGAGGAGGGGGATCAGCCGAGCTGACTGAGAGAGAGAGAGAGAGAGACAGAGCGGACAGGAACGAGGAAATGGCGAATGTGTGCAGTGTGTGTGTGACCTTGCGGTGGCCGACCTCTTTGCGCTCATCTCACCCAGGTGATAGTTTCACTTTCTTCCCAGTCTCATTCATGATGCCTGTCCAATGTTCCAGCCCTCCCCTCCTCATTGTCCCGCTCTTCCTCTAGCGACAGTCTTCGCGTTACGCATAACACTCTGTTACAAGTTCACAATGCTGTCCTCGTTGCAGAAGGAAAAACAACGAAATCCGACGACTCGGCCTAATCCGCTTAGCCAGCGTTTCGTTCCGCTCCCAAATCGGAAAAGTGCATGTGTCATGTAACCGATGATGCCTTTTTTTTTGGCTTCTCCGTTTCTGTTTTTGTCTCGGTTCAACACAACTTTCCGCGCAACCGCGTCGCGATTTTTTTTACTTTTATTATTTTTCTTTAGCTTCAAAATCTTTTTTTTTTATCATATCGATCCATTCCTCTGCTCGTTCCGTGCGAGAAATTGAATGGCTGGGATTGGGCATGAAGAGGAAAGCCACGGCGAGACACGGTGACGACGTTGAATCGGGTGGCCGTCAGCCCCCCGGGATACCCGCTCCGCACATGCCGGAACTCTGTTTGGTTTCAGCAATTTTTAAACAATTCATCTGTACAATAATCGCCCTGATGGGCTGGAACCGGGCAGGAATCGGGCCTCTGTGTACTCTCTGTGAGCCACCCTACGCAATAAGATACACAAGGTTGATTGCCGTGGGGAGTACAGCTCGTTAACGGTAATTCTTGTCGGACTCAGGCGGACCGCAAGCACTCATCAATCGGCCTCGTCAATGCGGCATTGACATGTTTTGACTATGCGGTGATGGGATGATTGCCCATTGCACCGACCCTTCCGAAAGAAGTCGGTCCAAGACAGCGAGAGGAAGCTAGGCGGCGGCCCGGGGAAAGGCTAACAGAGGCTCCACTGCGCTAGAGACTACCCGACCTAGTCTAGGTGTAGTGGGGGATGTACCCCTCAATGCAACCATCAGGTCTTGTCAACTGCACTTCAGAGATACCACAGATATCACTCAAGAGACCACTATCAGTGTCACGCGACTTCTGTTGATCTCGTGTCCTGGCTCAAGGTGAATCGGATGGCGAGCGAGTTGGGGGGTGGGGGTTGTCCGTTTGGCGACAACAAGCCCGGAGGCCGCAGAGAGAGAAAGTGTTGGGAGCAGGTCGAATGAACGGGCCAACAGCAGTCAAGATAGAAACATGGTCGCAACCCCCCAGACCGCAGCTTGCCACTCTGCAATGGACAGACAGATGATGGGAGGGAGGAATTGCCAAATCACTGAGCAGCTTGAAGGCAGACAGGGTCCAGGGCACAAATCCAAAAAGAGCTTTGCCAAAGTCCGCCTCATCCCAAAGCGAACCGACTTCAGGTGCGGCTTTCCGTGAGGTATGTAGGTACCATCCATGGAACAACATCAGCTCAAGACTGTGAGGCTTCTACCACCATGCCCGAAGCTTGAAATCGAGTCGTTGAGGTTGCTTGGTACATACTGGATCGTGCACACATCTTGTCTAACCGTGATGGGACTGTGACGGCTTATCCTTTTTTTTTTCTCCATGTCCAAGAAACCGGGAAGAGGGACATCATCAGCGGCTCTCGACCTCTTGCAAAACTGAAGCTCTCTGGCTTGGTCACTAGACCGGGAGGTGTGTCTAGCCGTGGTGGGGTCCTCATTGGTTGGCGCTAGAGTGGTCTAAGTGGGAAGCAAGCGACGTGTTGGGCAGCAGTTGGGTTTCAAGCCCCGGTCGGCCGACGTGGTCAAGCTCGATTTGCATCTGATGGGAACCCTCATCCCTTCAACCACCGCAGCTCTCTCTCTGTAACCACCCCCTCCCCCCTCCCCCGACAACTGCATCCCGTCAGTCGCCCGCATCTTGCCGGGTCTCTACACTACCTAGGTAGCCATGGCGACTGCTGTGACAAACTCTGCTCGAGGTTATGTAATGCTTCACGGCATCTCAAACCACATGGGAAACGGCGAGAATGGCCTCTCGGATCACAGCAATGTTCAGGGCTGCATGGCGTCCAGCCCAGTATCCCCCTTTGCACAGCAGCAGAAGCAAGCCCAGAATACCCCCCAAATGATCCATCACCTGCTTCACTGTTTGACACATTGAAGAAAGAGAGATCCGTTTGCACTTCATATTGAACGCGGGGGCCACGCCTTTGTGGGTGTCAACAATATCACCTTCACCACTTTTTCTCTTTTCACCACCTAGGGATCGTCTGGAAATGATGGGGGCCAAGCAGCTATCGAATGGAGCACAGCTTCCAAAAAAGCAACAAGGCCAGGATTCACAATCGAGCATTCCATCCCCGACTTTTCCTCTTGTCGCTCACTCCCTGCCCGGAAAGCCTGGGCCAGGAACAGGGACTCAGGTTGGGCTAGACATGCCCATGCCCTTCCTTACCCCTGGAACGGTGAAACCCTGGGGTAAGGGATCCCCGCAACAACAACAACCAAGCTCGACAAGGTCACCTCAACTCCAACGATTTTCCGCTTGGCTGATCATCACCATCTTTCCCGCTTTGCGTCGCTGAGTCGTTGTGTCGGTCTACCATCTTCTTGGCTCGGTTAAAACTTGGGCAAAAAAGGTCGCACAACCCGGGCTGCAGCGGCACAAGCAATCATCGTCTTCATCACTGACCCTCTGACCCAAGACCAACGGTGTTACGGTGGGAGGGTGGGGGGGTTATGGGACATGGGGCATGGGGCGCAGTTTGTGTCCTGATCGCTTCTTGTCGCACTTGTTCGTTGCGGCCTGATTCTTACCGAATCGACGTGACGCCAGAAATCAAGGTCGGGGATAGAATTGGGACAACGACGACAACAAGAAAGAAAACGCCCACAGCGTGCCGTCCCGTCGCTGGACCCCGGAGAAGGCAAGCGATCAGGCAAGCAAAGAGGCAAAGGTGAGGCCCGGGCGAACCAGGGACCGATGAGGGGAGGCCCAGATTGTTTCAAGTTTCAAAAGTCTGGAGATCGAACATTCACAACGGTCAACTCTCCCGTCTGTTTGTTTGGTGGCGAGGTAGCCAATCCGAACTCTCATCAACCCCGGCGCCCGCCCGTTCGCCGTCTCTTGCTACTCCAAGCACCGTGGTCTGGTCCCCTCCCATCCCCAGCCAGTGCCATGTGGGAAAGGGTCGCCAAAGAAGAGTCTGGAATTCCGAACGGCTGCCCAGGCAGTCTTAGGGCTCGAACAGCCCCATCTTGGGCCCAATCCAGGTACGTATTCTTCAACCTCACACACCGGGTTCCTGGCCTAAGGTTGCCAAGACTCGACTCACAACGCCACAGAGGCTTTGAGGATCCAGTCCACGACATGTTGACACGACTTCACTTTGGCTCTTTTTTCTTTGTTTTCCATGACGCGCTACCCACCTGAACTGTAACTCGAGGTGAGGCGTGTCTGCATTGCTGCTGTCAATGAAGTGGGAGAGCGAACTCCAATCACCAACCCACATGGAACTCAGCCAGGCGAGACTTCCGAGCGAGGGACGGTACTTATAGAAACCTTAGAATACATTGATCTTTTTCGGTGTGCAGACCGCACTTCTGTAAGAATCACCTAGTTAAGTAAAAAGGCCCCATCGTGGACGTGGCATGAACCACTAGTCCACTTATAGCCTCAAGTTAGACGCTCAAAAAACCTCATGCCAAGACATATCTACAAATGCGAAACAAACGCGGACAAGCGAACCACGATGCTTGTAGCGCGTTTGGGGGAGTCAGAAGCTCGCTGGATTATCAAGCTTTCCCCGTACGGCCTGCAGAAGAGCGGTATAAGATAACAGCATTCACCCACTCTTGGCCCCACGAACCAGTCGGTAGTCGTCAATAATCGGTCGACGATTACTGACACCCGACTCCACTGTCCTGCCCAGTCCACTCATTGTGTGAATAGTCCACCGTCTCCGTCCGGCTACTTCTCCCTCGAATGATGGCAGGGATGGGTCGTTCTTACGAAAAGATCATCCACGACGTCCGACTCTAGACACTCTTGGTCCCTGAACGGGCCCTGAACATCAACCGGGTCTCAACAATCTGGAGGCAAGCAGATCTGGCCAGACACCGACGGATAAAGAAACCCGCACCTCAGTCGACAAGTTAACGATATCCTCCAATCCGTGGCCACCCAAGATCAATCAAATCCATCTTACCAGACCACATTCGTCGTAAGCCCGGATGAGTAACCCAGTTCCTCCAGCCACTGACAATGTAAATAGACTCGTTTCAGACTCTTTGAGCGAATGGCAGGCAGGCAGTTCCATCCGCGACTCCATCCGTCCATACGTCCATGCGTCTATTCTCGGCGGCCAGCATCACGGTCAGGAAATCCATGATCCAAGAATTTCGCCGCATGAACACATGTTCGGACAATTTGCCTCTTTGCGTCTCGTCTCACAACCCGCCGCCTGTCCAGACCGGCGAGTGAGTGAGTGAATGAGTGAGTGAGTGCACGAGTCGTCGTCGACCAGAACAGACAGACACACAACCGGTCTCCACCAAAGTATCCGGTTCGCGGTCGAATAGGCTTGTCGACGTGTATCGATCTCATTGCCGGGCGGGTGGTGGGTTTCACATTGTTCGAAATGCTACCTACCTACCTACCTACCTACCTAGGCAGACTGTCAGGTACGGACCAGTTGCATGCCGGGGAGAGAGAGATCAGTGAGTGGTCTGGGGTCTGCCACCGACCACCGACTGAGTCAAATCTGTCGGATTCATTATGCTCGTCTGATCTTGATAGGCAGGATGTCCGGTGATGGTGGGTTTTCTTTCAATCAGCGTTGAGGAAATGCAGTGCTGCCGGTGCTGGATAATTGTGGGTAGAGTGGTAGGTAGGTATGTAGTCTATGGGCCGGCCCTCTCAACCCCGATCGATGCCTTTGATATTACTTCTCAAGTATCCAGCCCGGACCCGAACCATCAATCGGAGCAGGTGGAAAGTAGTGCACTGCAAAGTGGTTATCTCCCGATTGGATCACTCACTCACTCACTCACTTGCTTACCTTACCTTATCCTGCTGACGGATGTTGACTGTTGCAAGAACACATGCTTCCGTACGGATGCCGATCGGGAAGGCCAGACTTTTCGGCTCGGCCTTTCGCTTGAACATCCGCTTCAATCCGCTACATACTCTACCACTACGCCCGATGAACCTTACCTCCAAGTTTTGTCTCCCCCGTGAAGTATTATTAGATTATCGGTCCGTCGTCGCCGTGGGGGGTTTCACCAGTTTTCGCTTCTGTGTGCTCCGGCGGGTGACCGGTTCGTGAGGAAGGAGCCGCCGAACACATGGTAAGCGAACTGGGCAAGATCTCAAAAATAGGTAGGAAGGCATGATCAAACCATAGGCTATTGACCCTCACCGGCGTGTCTCCAAGCGCGGGCGGGAGCAGATGGCAGGAGCACATGCCACATCAACGCCTTGGAGCGCACCCACTTCCGGTTCCTTCCTTGTTGTCACTGAAACGGCACTCCATCGGGATGGACCTTTCCTCTCTCGCACTTCTATCCTTTCCGCTTTGCCTTCCTTGCACTGCATGATCACTAAACAAATCAGCAAATTCTGCCTCGATATCCTCTCCAGGGTGCCTACCTATGTGCTCAAGCACGTTCGTATTGTCGTGTTTGTTTCGATGTCGATTCATGTCCATGTCGTCCGATAGAGAAAGTCCCCACGATCGATCGGCAATCGCTTCCCGCTGTCGGTAACTGCCGCATGATCTCCATTTTTTTTTTGCCATACACCTCCCGGTCGTTTCAAAAAAAAAAAAAAAAAAAAAAGAAAAAAAAAAAAAAAAAAAAAAAAGTCGCTATACAACCGTCTCCATCACGATCCGACGACTACCGGCACTTTGGCGAAATCCTTGATAGCCACCCGGCGGTGAAAAAAAGAAAAGAAGAAAAAAAAACGGTCCGAGCTACCTTTGTTGAGAGACGGTTGAGCGGCGGATAAAGTTGTGGATATCATCAATTCGTTGAGTTCCTTGTTGCACTGTTCCTCCACCCGGCTGTTCCTGCGAGACATTTGTCATTCATCATCAATTGTCTTGTCATGTGGATATCCAAGTGAGGCACGATCCGACTGCCGGTGGATAATCTAAGTATAGAACTTCCTCTCATAGCTTATCGCTTGGTGTGATACGGATGGTTTGTTGTCTTCGAGTGACTGGTAAGCCGCCGATCATGTCGTGATTTATGCGTTTGGAGTGTTTGGGGATTACAACTTTCTTTCGCAGTGTTTGCTTCCGGTTGGAATGATGCTGTGGGTTGGGAGAAGCCATGAAAAGAGCCAAGAGCAGGGAAAAGTGCTGGTGGCCGAGCAAAGCTGGCGATTATTCTACTGAGAAGTCCATGCAAACAATGCTGGTGTACTTCCCACTGGCGACTACTCGGAATTCCCTATGGAAAATATGATGAGATGAGACAAACGGTCAGGAGGTTGTGTCTTCAAAGGTTTGGATGACGATGAAGTGATTTGCTTCTTACCTCTTCTCACTTAGTTCACTCACCTTAAAGCTCGTCCAGTTTCCACAAGTACCTCGCTCCGTATCATGTTTCCATATTCCAATGGACTGGCTTGAATCAACCCAGCTTCTCGCATATCATCATCACAGATCGATATATTCGTCCTGCAGCCTAGGAAGCGTCATCTTTCCTCTCCACCGGGGCTCAGCTGATCATCTAAAGTCCACCTAGCCGATTTTTGCTTCAAACACTGGTCCCTCACCAACACAAAAACGACACTCTGTCAATATAAACCCCTAAACTCAGTCTGTCCCCAAATTTGACCGTTCTGCCCGGACTTTTGCCTGCCGTCATCTGACCAGAAGCTTGGACCCCGAGGCCCATGAATACCTAGTACCCAAGGAAAAGCATTGAACAGGACACTCCTTGATTCCTCCCCCTCTTTCCCTCTAAAACACTCCAAGTTATCTCGAAAATGAATCCTTCAATCCAGATTCCCCATAGGCCTACACTTGCCTAGTTGCTTACCCCCAAGCAAAAGCATCAGTTTTATCCCCCATCTCCACCAACCACCTAGATACCTGTCGGTATCATCACTCCTCTCTCCCTCCAACGATCGCAGGCCCTGGTACGCTCTTGCCTGACCAATATATCCGCAAATACTAGCTTCACAGACATGCCAGATCAAAGCTTCACGTGCCAGCGTGATTTGGTTCCTTCGCTTGAAAAAGGAGGTCGTGCGTTGTGCGAGTGTCCAGACCGACTGTCAATCGTGCCTTCCTTGTCTGATCTTGCACCGCCAGTCGACGGATCGATCCCACAATCTCTGCAATTCCGCGGACACATCCGATGCTAGCCGGTCGGCCCAAAGTACGTGCCAGACAACGGTGTCGAGGGAAGGTCAAGTCAGGCTCAGGATAGTAGTACCCGTGCCCATGACCACCATGAATGACCTGGCGGTTTAGTATCACGACCGCAAGGGGTTCTCACTTACCTGCCTTGTGCTCATCATATTTCCTCTACAAGTAACCGTGGTCATTCAAGACATTTTGAACGGAAAACTTTGTAAAATCTTGTCACAAAGGAACACAAAATGGTCGGCGATGTGAATCAAAAAGGGTATCTTGCTAATCTCTAAGGTATCTTACTCTTCCCTAACCATGCGTCGTCTGATCCTGGCCCAGCGGAATGGAAGGGTACCGCTGCTAATTAAATGCATGCAAATACAACCAAGAATCCTCATTATCTCATGGCTCCCCCATCCTCTCTCCCTCCCAGCTCATTTTGTGGTCACCATTTGCCCAGTGATCCTATGTCTAATGTGTATTTTTGACCCTCTATCAAGTCCCAATATGCGTGAGCGGTCAAGATGCTCAGTGGTGTGAACTCAACGCAAACACAAAAAAGGTGTCGGAATCGCATGGCCAAAGTTCATCATGTGCTCCTTGTCCCAACCATACCCCCCAACCCGACCCCATAGCCTCAGGTTTTGTTACTCACAAAGAGATACGCCCAAAGTGTAAGTGGTGGGGAATGGCAGTTCGTTTCGAGATGGTCATAAGATAGCCGCAATTTGACCTCAGCGCCCTTTGCTTGTCGCCCCCGAAAGATACGATGTAACTAAATAGGGACAGACACAACCAATATAAACGCCCATGCAATGCAAGCCACGCAAAAGAAAAAGAGAGTAACGGCCAATGGGCATAACATGATGGTACAGGGGAGTCAATGCATTCGTAAAAGAAAGATCATCCTCGTGAACTAAATGCCTAAGATTGCATGCTAACGCCTTGGTTGCTGTGAATATGCAGATGTCGCCGGCGGAATATCCCGTAAAGGCAACGAAAACGATTGACGAAAGGCAGGGATAGGCTCCTGATACCGACCAGCTCCGGCCATTGTCAACCCACTATTGGGCATGGCGAATTCTGGAACAATGCCCGTGCGCACCTCGTTCCGCCGCCCAAGCGGTTGATAGTGTAGCTGAGTCGGAGGAATCGGGTTCGGGAGATGGTATTGTTGGAGAAAGGCCGATGGCGGGGGATGAAGCAGTGTTTCGGCATGTCGGACCGGTCTGTACGGGCTCGTCCGCTGTTGAAGATATATGTTGGAAGGAGAACTTGCCGACATCGGAGTATGTATGAGCGGCTCGCCGATGGGAGATGAGCCAAGATAAGCCCCGCTTGAGGTCAGGCTGTGCTGAGACTGTAGGCGGTTCGCAGACAAGGCATACTGAGAGGTCGGGTGAGCCGTTGTCGAAGCTGCAACGACGGTCGACGGCGAGACGCCAGAGCCGCTGGTCGGCAAGATTGATGGAATGGGAGCAGCCGCCGACGTGGAGTTGACGTAGGTCGCAGCCATGCCCGGAGCAGGTAAAAGGATGGGAGGCAAAGAAATCATGCTCTCCGGTGCGTAGCTGACGCGGGAATAGACTTCACCAGGGAGCGTATTTGCCGTGGATGATTGAGCGTTGTTCAATGTCAAGTTTGACACCGACAAGCGCGCTTGTTTCAAGGCCATCTCGCTCGTCGATGGAAGCGGTGCACAGGCAAATTCTCGAGAATTTCTGAGGGCTTCAGGTACCGTTACTGTGGGGTATAGGGTTTCTGAGGAGGCGTACGGCTTCAACGGCGTCCGACGTTTAGCTGGCGGCTCTAGAAGATCAAACTCTGGCATGCTCCTCTTTCGGGTTAAGGGTGTGCTTGCCGGGTTCCAGATTGGGGTTTGGCCGGCGGCATGGGTCGGCCAACCTTGGCCAGAGCTCTGCTTCGCATAGAAACTCGCGCTTGGTGACTGTCCGGCCAGAGTCGGCTGCAGTGGTGAGGGAAAGTGCTGGCCTGTTGTGGGAGAGGGCAAAGCCGAAACGGGGAGGGCGTTTGGTGACGGTGCCAACAGATCTGCTGAAGAAACTTGTCGCGCTCGCTCCAGATATTCGCGAAATCTAGCCAGCTTAACCAGCCATTCTTCCCACTGCTTCTCGGTGACCAGAAGGCTGTAACGCATATTTCCCAGAAACTCAACCTCCATAACATGAATCTCGTTCACCGAAAGCTGGGACACCTCGGACCACGTCTTGTTGGTGTATGTGTTGTCGTCGAGAAACTTGTTTGCTAACATCAGCGCGACCGTGAGCAGCCGATACTCACTGCCTGGGAGCCCATGCATTTTTGGGTTCAGAACCTTGAGTCGATGAATGTACAAGAGAGACAGAAGGATAACATTCTGTGTCACCTGGGTAGTCGACAAGAGGTTGTGGACCCATTTCTTGAAGTTGGGGCAAGCGATGGCGGGTCCCTCGATCCGCCGTACAGGGGCGGCGCCTGGACGAAGGGCATCGTATGTCGCGGCCTGCTCAAGTACTTTTGAAGTTTCGAACCAAAACAGTGCTGTCAGATCGGCCACCAAATCCGAGAGACTTCCGCCTTTGGGACTGATACATGCCGGAACCTGCAAGCTGTGGAGTGCCATGGCGGCATCCCGCTTCGAGATCTCCTGTTCTCGTCTGATGGGGCTTGGTGAGGGCGGTCTTGAGGGCCGCTGCGAAGATGGCCTCCGTGATTGGTGCTGCTGCTGGTACTGCTGCTGTTGTTTCTGCGAAACGTATTGTTGTTGGTGTTGCTGCCGTGGTGGACTTGGCTGCCGTGGCTGGTGTTGCCGCTGTTGGTATTGCTGATGCTGCTGGGCATAACCTCGCTGTGCCGAACCTGAATTCGAGCTAGTGGACGAAGCGGCAGTCGACCATTGCTGTGGGTTGGGGAGGTAAAGCGACTGTGTATCCGAGTAAGAACACAGTGACTCGGAGTTGTTAAACATGTGGGCCAAATCTCGAGGCGGCCTTTGGGACACAGCACTACAACTGGAAAGTGCTGGCAGAGTTGGGTGAGTGTAAGACCTATGTTGTTCGTAGGAGGGAGTCAACTTCGGCACTTGGTATGTGGTACCCATGTCGTTGTCGTATGGCGGCGTCTGAAGACCACCGGCACTGCTTGGATTTGACTTCTTGATGAGGTTTCCGTAGCGACGCCAGCCAGATACGAGTGATTGGGTTGTCCACCGGTCGACAGGAGACTGATGCTGACTTGAGAAAGGCGACGAGGAGGGGAGAGGGTTCTGACACCGCGTCCTGGCGAGATACATGCCGCGAGAAAACTCCTTACGGCGGGGGAAACAGCGGATATGACGTGGTGGGGGGAAAAAGTCCGACGACGACAAGCTACTGCACCAGTGACTGTAAGTGAGCAATTGGTGAAGTTGATTTGACGATATGGCTTTCAAATCTGGATCAGAACACTGAGGTCAGAAGGAACCCCGGCATATGGTGACGCCTAGACGGCAATTGCTTCCTTCTCGTTTTCTCTGCCGTGGTCTGTTTTTTTTTTTGGCAATTTGAAACTGGACTGCGGAGATCGAGGACAGGAATGCGTTGGTGACTGTAGTTTTGTATATCGCTCCTTCCAATATCGAATTCGAACCTGCTCTTGCCGGCAGTCCAAGGCAGGCGCGAAAGGGCTAGCGGCGTCGCGCGTGGATGGCTCAGAGGCAACTTCCAAAGTGCTCCGGTCGCAAGTCGTTAACCGGATCGAGGGAACGAGCTTCCTAATTCAGGTACTATACCGGGCCAAGTGGTGTGTCGCTTCTTTGACCGTAGTCCTTTATAGAGAACGCCTCCCTTTGCGACAGGACAAGCTCGGATCAAGATGGGCGCAATGAAGCTTTGTCTGTGGAAGACTCTCTTCGCTGCTGGAATGACACCCTGGATTGGCAAAGAACAGGATATAGCATGGAGGGAAGAAGAAGGGGGGAAGATTCGAGTCGTTCGTACCCGGGCCCGGGTCCGTGTCGTGTCGTGTCGTATCGTGTCGTGTCCAGTCGTTCTCGCGATCGAGGTAATGTGGGCGTGGTCGTTGCCGTGGATGTCCGTTGTTGTTCGTGTTTCCTCTTTACCTTACACACACGTCCACCGTGACCTTTTCTGGCGACAATGGAATGGTGGTGACGGGAGGATGAGGCACTGGTCACAGCGAAGCCCCTGGTGACAACGTGGTGATGCTCTGAGGCTGAAAGGGAAAGCAGAATGAACAATAAGTCGAAGTTTGAAGAAGGGGGGGGGGGGGAGGATACCGGTCAGAGTACCTCTATCTCTAGGGATGGAGGAGGAGAATAATGAAGGAAATAGAAAGAGTCGAGGTGAAAGCCTCCATTTCCTCTGCCATGATCCATGTTGGGTTTGGGGATGAAGGAGGTCATGGTCCCGTCACGGTGTTCCGTTCGATTGCTTCGTCTTTCCCCGTCGTGGTTGCGTACTAGTATGTATCCGTATCGGGTGAGTACCAAAAAAGTGAATTTGGGAAGCGTGTCAGTGGGGATCCCATGTTTCCATGTTGGTTCAATGCTTGTCTGCTTCCACAGGTCACTCCGTTGCAGGTCACTGCCACTAGCGAGCGGACCCTGGTCTTGTGGTCTGGTCTGTACATTCCCATGTTCCCGTCTTCCACTTGTTCCTCTTGCGAGAACCCGGGACCCGCTGCCAGTGACAGTCTCTTTTTTTTGAGGTACGGTGATACATATCTCTTTCCTGCTTACATCCAGGGCGTATGTACGTATGTACTGCGTACTAGGAGGGGGGGGACCCGACTGACCAGCAATGGAAATTGCATCCAAGCCATTCTCACGCATATTTGATCTTGCTGAGCCAGAGATTGTTGCATCGCGACCTACCTCTTGGTATTCGGGCTTGGTACTTACTCACGCAACATTCAGCAAGTATCACTGATGACCGAATGTCGTTGTCAGCACATTCCGAATCTTCCTCAAGGTTTTGGCGCTGGCCAGTCACGGCCCGTATCTTGTCGGGTCCCGGATGCAAAGAGGAAAAATAAAAAGCAGAAGGCTCCAGCAGCTGCGTCCAGTTGCCCACCGCCGGTCGCGTAAAGTGCCTTCCTTTGCTCGACATCTGGCTTCAGTGTGGAACAGGCAGATCCAGTCGTCCGCCAACGTTGCCTCTGACTGGCTGGATGGTCTCTGCTCCATTGGGTCGATGGGTGGATCACGCTCACCAAGGAGCGGTCCGGGGTCTTTGCCATTTTCCAACCCTTCATTGAATGCGCTGCATGGCCATGGCCGCTCCTTGGCTCCTTCCACTATAATTCTTGGCCTTGTACCCCCGTAGAAAAGAGCAAGCAGGACAGGAAGTGTGGACAGGAAACAACTCGAATTGTTGCGAGTCGGTGCCGGTCAATCAAGACTGTAGTCTGTGTAATTGGAAAGGTGCGTACTTGCTGCTACTCCTACAATTTGGCTTTTGATTTGTCAGTTGTTAGCGTCTTACGAGTTACCGTGCCTGACTGAAGAATGAGTGGTGGTGGTGGTGAGGTAGGTACCGGTAGGTAGGGGCAGTGGGCAATGAGCACACGGACCGGGGATCCACAAACAGAACCTTTCTACCAATCCAATTACACCCTTCCACTTAAGTCCCTAGCGGGCTGGCATTGCTCTCACTCGAACACTGCCCTGGGCCACTGGCGCACCACACACACACACACACACACACACACACACACACACACACACACATTGGCACTGCAGTTGTATACACTACGGTAGTGCATCTCGGCTGTCTTTTGTCTCGTTCCCATCAGTCAGTCCCAGTCGTGGATCAGTAAAAAAAAAAAGAAGAAGAAAAAAAAGGTAAAGGTCTCGGCGAGGATACGAACACATTGGCAGGCCACGCGGTTTGAGCGACTTTTCACCTCGTTTTCTCTTTTTTATTTCAGACTTCCATGAAAACAGGTTAGCGCGTCCGGAGATCCATTCATGTTAACCTCATCCCTGCCGTCAACGGCGTCTCCTTTTGTGTCCCTCTAGTCGGGATCTGTCAGATAAAAGAGGTGACCAGGGTGGCCAGCCCAGCTACCTTACATAAGCTGGCCACGCTAGCATTACCTCGATACTAGATTTTCTATATAAGGGATTTCCCCACCACAGAGCTCTACATAATATATAGTCTATACCCTCTATTAAATTAATACCCCTACTCGTACCTATATTCTATAATTAAGAGTCTTATATATAATAATTACTAGTTAAAGTAATCCGGATAAATATAGTATAGCAATTACTTACCGAAGTAAATAAAGCTATATAATGTAATGCGATAATATTTACTTTTATTGATTTTAAGACTGCTAATAAGGTTATCCTTAATAAATTTAAAGATTAGTATTTCTAGGAGAAGGAATTTAAAGATAAGGCTTTTAATAAGGAGTTTTAATTTTTTATTAACCCGGATCTTAAGAAGCGAATCCCCTAGCCTACTACTCCTATTAAGCCGCTAGTTACTAATTTTTGAGAATTATTTAAAAATATCTAAATCTAGTAATAGATTTTTGATACTATAGAAGTAGACAATAGTCTTCTGGTAATTAACACCCGGTTGTTTTAAGCCGCTTAATTAATTATAGTCCCGGTCCGGACTTTAATATTAATTTAAATTCCCCCTAGTCTGCTTGTAAAGGTTTCTTTTACTATTAAGCGCCTAGGCTTTATGTTTAAATCTAATTTTCGAAATTATAAAACGGCTTTAGTCGATTATTACTATAAAAAGAAGAATTAGGATAAATTTATTATTAACATTAATAATATTAAAGATTGGATAAAAAAAGTATACTATTAAAAAGTTTTATTTAGTTTATTTCCTAGAAACTGAGATTATTACCATTTAATATAATAAATTCTACATATTAATTAATTATAGTCCGGTTAGAGTTCAAAATGATACCTGCGCTAAGTATTAGGAGAAAGACTACTTTATTTGTACTTTAAAGAGTTAGATTACTTAGTTTAAAGAATAGGAAGGGGTTATAATTATTAATTAATACTATAATATTAATAAATATATTAACCCTAAAAGTTAGTAGTAAGACTTCTTCTACATAATAAATAAATTCCCTAATTCCCTACTTAGTACTTGGGCTATAATATATTGCTAAATTAAAAATAATAAATTTTATATCCTTATAGATATAGCTCGGGAGTTTAAATAGGCAATCTTTAAAACGTTTCTATTAAATAAAGGTTATTCTTAAATTTATAAGGGTAGTACGTTTAGGATAGTAATTATATATATTAAATTTAATAGGGACACTTCCAATAACCCCCAAAGTAATAGAAGTAAAAAGCCGGCTAATAATTATTAAGATTATTAAGATTGTAATAAACGGTTAAAGAGGGCTTACCCTACTTATAAATATATAAATTATAAATTTAAATACTATTAATATATTAACCTAGCGAATTAATTGGAAGACTTTAAAGAAAATTAGTACGTATATAAGTAAATTAATAAAAATTATAAAAGAGATTCTAAATTTATAAATAAGATCTAAAAGATTTTAAAAAATTGTATTGTAAAGAAGATTAACAGATTTTATTAAAATAATATTAGTAACTTCTAATTTAACAGCCGGCGGGTCAGTAATATATATTATAAAATGAATTTCCTAATACTAAAATCTTATAAGAATAGATTAAAGTATTTACTAAGAGATTTAGTGATTTTTAATTTAAGTATAATAACTTATATTCTTAATAAGGCTAGTTGGTTTAAGAGCTTTAAACCCGTGAAAGAGGGAGATTATATTTAAGTGAGAACTAAATTTATTTTAATCAAAGGATATAATTTAATCTATTTAATACTAAATAATAATAAAGAATTCTCTATTAATTTTAAATTTGACAACGTTGCGCTTATACCCGGGATGGTATACGATTTAATATTTTTAAAAAGGTTATTAGAAAAGAGACTATATTAGGATTAATTATTTAATTCGGGGTACCTTCACTTCTACTCAAATAATAATTATCTTTATTATTTCTCCTTAGAATTCAATTTATTTATATTAGAATATATACTACTTAGAATATATACTAACCAATTCTCTTTTTATATATAATTTTACTAATTTACTAATAAAACCGTTAGGAAGCTTTAAAAGGGTAATACTTTACGCTAATACTTTTGCCTTAATTATTTAAGATTAGAAACTTTAGTCCAATTAATGGATAAAGAGTACGGAGTACGTTTAAAGGGCCCTAGTTTTATTTATTGCAATTTCTACATAATAGTTAAAATAAAGCACTAAATATATAGAAAGGTCCGCAATGTACCAGAAGGTCCTAATCTCCACTTCGCTATTAATATTTTTAATTATCCCCCAATTAAAGTCCTTAGTAGAAGTACGGTATTAAATTTAATAGTTATTATAAACTACTAAGTTAGGAAAGTATAATTATATTACTTACTAGACTAGATAGCAGACTTAATTATCACTATACTAACGTTATTATTCAATAATTTTAAACTTTATTACTAGATCCGATTAAGGGTAGTTAAATATAATAATAAAATAATTATAAATAAACTCTATATGACTACCTTCTTAATAAAATAAAGTATAGTTCTCGAGCCCTCAGCTTTATATATTTAAATATAGAATAGCGGCGCCGAATATTCAGGGGGTATAATTAGGGAAAAATCAGCAGTAATAAGAGAATTAGTAAATTTACCTTAAGAACTCTAGAGAAAAATAATAATAGTAGTAGTATATTTATTAAACTTAACTCTATAATAGAAATTTGATTGGAACTCCCTAGAAGAGCGCTTTACTATATATATAATTAATTGCGATAGTAGTTAATAAAGACTAGTACTACAATTATCCTACTTTAAAATCTATAGCTATAAAGTTTTTGCGCTTATAGTTAATATCCTATACGGTTAAAAACGGACCTAAAAGTTCAAATAACGTACTTAGGTAGGGTATTTAGTTGGCTACTAGTCTAATAATATCTATTATGTTTAAAACCTATATATAAACTAAATAATTATAATAAAAGATATAGTCTTTAATAAAGACGAAATTTTTATAAGTAAAGTTAAGAAATTCTATAATACCTTTAATATCTCCTTTAAAGAATTAGCCGTATAATTAAATGATATTTATTAACTAAGTTCTAATATATTTAATCTACTACCTATTAGAAGCGCCGAAGTAAAAAATAAAGAGACTAATCTAGTTGTTAAATTCCTCTCCACTATTAATAGCACCGCAACTTCCGAACTGACCGAATCTATATATATATAAGAGAAGGAATAAAGAGAGAGCATTAGAATTCTAGTATTGGAATTATAGCTATAAGATGATTAGTAGAGTATAATAATAAATAAAAAAGTGGAAACGGGTTATCTTACTCCCTTAGAAAATCCAACGTCGTTCTTTATTAATAACTTTAATGTATCGTACCCTTAATAGAATTAATTAACGTATAATAAATATTTCTATTATATTAGGTCCTTCTTAATTACTTTAAATAAAATAAATATTAAATTATACAATAGACGGCCTATTAATAAGGAAACCCTTAATTAATTGAGACGTATAACTACTAGTAAGAAGGAGGAAGGAGAAAAGTTCTCCAATAATTCGAAATTAATTAGAAATATTATAAATTATTATAATGACTTTAATACTTTAGCTAATTTCTACTAACGAAAATTCCCTCTTCCCTCTCGGGTTTATAAAGATTTTAATTATTATTTATTTAGTAATTGCTTTTATAAAACTAAGCGAAAGTATATAAAAGATTATAAGGAGAAGAAATTGTAGGCGTAGGTCGATAAAGACGAATAGTATACTAATATAACTACTAAATTATTTAATTTAATATAAGTATATATATACAAAATTAATATAGAAGGGTATTACTTTAAGTATAAAATTCGTTTAGTAGTTCAAAGAAACTAATAGTTATATAATAACGTACGAGAAACATACGCTGCTACCTTCGTAATTTAATTCTTTAGAATTATAATAGTAATTGCCGCCTACTTCGATCTCGAATTTAAGTAATATAATACGGTTAATACCTTTATTAATATAGTACTAAATAAGATTATCTATATAAAACTACTATATAATTGGGAGTATAAGGGTAAAGTATTAAAGCTATTATATATTTTATATAAATTATGATATTCTCTACTATTTTAATAAAAGGAATTTACTGAAACTCTTATAGAAGTTAGCCTTACCCCTATCTCTATAGAACTATATATACTAATTAAAGAGAGTATAATTGTTTTCTTTTATATTAATAATATTACTCTTATTTATAAATTAGAATATTTATAATTAGTAGAGGGAGTAATTATTACTCTCAAGTAATATTATTAATTAATTAGCAGTTAAAATATCTAATAGTTCTTAAGTATTAAAATTATTTAAGACTATTTATACTACTTACTTTAATTATCCTAGCGAAAGTATATTCTTAAAATAATTAAAGAAGTTAAATAGAAGAGGAAACCCCCTAATAATCCTATAATAATTAAAGAGCTTACTTCTTAACTTCAATGCTCTATATAGTATATAATTAAATCGTATTAATAGGCAATTAGTATAGTCTTATATTTTACTATTATTACTAAACCCAATATTACTTTTATACTATTTTAATTAGCCCGCTTTCTAATTAACCGCAGACTAATTTATTATTTAGTAGTTGAGCGAGTAAAAATATACCTTTATGGTACTAATTATTATACCCTCCAATTAGGAGGAGGTAACGAATTTAAATTTTATATTAATATATTTTTTACCAATAATATTAACAACCGAAAAAGCTTATAAGAATTCGCAATATAATTATTTGGTAGTATAATTAATTAGCATATTAATAAGTAAAATATAGTTACTACCTTAATAATTAAAGTAGAGTTATTATCCTTCACTTAAAGAGTAAAGGAAGATATATAGGTTAAAAAGCTCTTTAACTCCCTTACCCTTTAATTCGGGGTTAAGGTTATCCCCCTCGGTTACAATAATGAATAGATAATACACTTTATTACTAAGGAGAACTCCAAACTCTAGACTAAATTTAAGTATATTATTATCTATAATTACTAATTTAGAGAAAGCTAATAATGTAGCTTTATTAATATATATTATATACTTACTAGTAAGATAATTACTAATAAATTTACTAAAACAGTTAATACGCATAAGTATTAAGAATTTATAAAGTAATTTAATATAATAGATATTAGAGAGAAACAAGGGGAGAAAAGGGAGCTAGTAACAATAGAAGCGAACTATCTAATTATAACCAATAAAGAGGATTAGCTAGAGAGGAAAATTAAGGGATAAAAATTTAGGATAGTATTATTATAGGTATAAATAGCCTTCTTATACTATACGGCTAAAATAGCTTCTAAAATTAAGAGGTACTAGTATAATAATTCAATTATATAAGGAGGAAAAAGGTAAAAAGATTGGTCCTAGCAGGATTCGAACCTGCGATCTTTAAGTATATTATTTAGAAGTAATCTACTAATTATACTTTTAAATATACTTAAGAAATAGTAGGCAGATAATTAAGAATAATACCCTAATATTCTAACTACTAAGTTATAGGACTTAGTATTTTAGTTATTGAAAAAGGTACCGTTAATCTTCCCTATTAATAGAAAAGGGAATGGACAATATTTTTAAAGGTAATTATTAGAAAAGGAATAGAAAAGGTGTAAAATTTATAAATAGCTTTAAAGACAATAGCCTCCCTAAATTCCAATTCAGTTAGGGGGGTATATTAAATAAAAGAGGTAACTAGGGTAGCTAGCCTAACTACTTTATATAAGCTGGCTACGCTAGTATTACCTCGATACTAGATTTTCTGTGTGAGGGATTTCCCTAGTATAGAGCTCTATACAATATACAGTCTGCACCCTCTACTGAATCAATACCCCTGCTCGTGCCCGTATTCTACAGGATCCAACACACACACACACACTGACACACCACATTGCGACTGAGGTCAGCGTCACCGGACTAGCGCAAACCACAGACCGCCAGCCGAAGCTGGAGAAGAACGTACATACATAACGTACCTATAGGCTTAGCTGACCCGGCCCTGTCCGGACCATAGTGTACTGTACGGCTCCTCCTCGTTTGTACAATCCGAAGTTGCAGCACCACACAATTCCCCCCTCCCCCTTTAGGCCCCTAGTTCCAAGAGTTGTTGTGGCCCATACATAAACTTGTCTAGCCAACAGACCTAACAGCAGCATGTGTATAACGAAACTCACATCGAGTGGCACCAACACCAGGTGCAACACCAGTCATGCCAGCCGGGGTTGAGTGTCTGGAAAGTCAGTCGCCTTATTGGTTTGTTGCTTTCGCTTGCTCGTGCTGTCTAAGCCCTGATACGGCCCGACGTCAGTTGGCGTCAGATGAAGGAAACTGAGCGGTTTTGCCTGTCTGCCTCGCCCTTTGAACGCATTACCATGTCGGCCCGTGCTGGACCTGGTGTTTCACGCAGGAAATGGATGCATAGGTAGAAGAGGTACTGCTAGGACTGGAACCTTTGTCCACGCACTGTTATCGTCGGAGTGACCATCATCTTTGCCGTGTCGAGCATATCCCTCGTCGCTGGCTGTTGATGCAGTGGAGAAACAAGGACCACTTTATCACCATAACCCCCCAAAAAGTAAAAAGGAGGCACGGGCTTTGCGTTGCTTGGCTTCTCCTGGGGTTTGGCTCGCCATCCATTGATAGATAGCTTGCTGAAAAAGCCTCGCCCACCGTCCAAGCCATCGATGCCCTGTACGGTATCAGTCTACCAATCAAAAGTTGACGCCGCGTTTCCAGAGGCAAAAGGCAACAGTGTCGATTGGCGCATTCCCAAGTGGCTGGCCCCTCTCCCTGTCTCCCTGTCTCCAACTTTCCATCCTCTCCATGCCACCAAAAGGGGGGTTTATCCATGACTTAAACCTCAGCGCATGGCCTTCGCCGTCCATCCAAAAAGAATCATGCCGTGATCGAGAAGCGAAACCACTTGTTCTCCGGCCAGCACCGCGTCACGACACCCACACAACCTTGTCAAAGGTTGATGAAGAGTGCGACGCTGGAGTGCTATTGAACACACAGCCCGCCCAACAGAGTCCCTCTTTCAATAACCCTTCGCCGGAACGATCAACCGCCACGGAACTCGCCCACTCAAGATCCCTCCCTCCCTTGAACTTACTGTGCTGCCGCCGGGCCCAGGCAAAAGGCCTCCCTGAAGTCACTCGCGCGTCTCCAGCTTTTCTCATCCGGAAAGTCTGGAAATAGAACGCCTCACGATGCATCCAACATGACTTCTAGACCTCCGACTTGAAGACATAGCACATCGCATACGCACACACAAACGCACGCACACACGGGCGGGATCCTCTTTATTACCTGGAGCTGAATGATTGATGAGCGCAGGTCGATCCGAGGTCACTCGCAGGTCTGTACACTAGTACTCTGCCGTTTCCAGAAACATCATGATGAGCACAACCTGGAGGAGCTGGTTGTGAAATGGAGCGTCAGCGACCCGCTCTTTTTCCCGCCTCTCTTCCCCATCTTTAATCTTGACTCCCATCTCAACCATTCCGGATCACAGTCTTGCAAAACTCGCTTTGGTTGGAGTGATTTCCCCTTTGCGGAAAGACGACAAAAACTCAAAAAAGCCTCGGCTCCGTATGGAATGCGTCCGAACCTTGCGTAGCTTTGATGCGACAATCAAACGACAAAACCCTTATCCTGGAGGAGCATCACAAGTATAGAGCATGTATGTCTTTACTCGGCCAGCAACAGCCGAGCCCAGCTGTGTACGTACGGTAGTGTAAGCGTACCACACACGGTCATAGCACTGCAACGCATTTACTCCGGCCGTGTAGGAGGTGTATGCCGTTATACATCCGTCCTAGTTCCCTTTGACAGCTCTTGCGTCTTCCATATCCCTTTCCAGACAACCGCCCTTTCCCATGCTGGTCAGGTCTGGAAATTTCCAACCGACCGACTGCGGTTGTGCCAGCTTTGCCAAGGCCATCAAAAGAGGGCGTGTGGGCGGCGTGGAAGAACCGACACATACCAAAAGGGCCAGCCAGGAGCAAAAGGCTTGGTTATGGCTTGTTTTCGATCTGCAGCGCCAGCAAATTGATTTATTAGCAACTGTTGCGGGGCGCGCCCATTCACGAACAAAGTTACTCCAAAAAAGTTGGATCCCGTCTTGTGTTTCGCACATATCTTAACATCCCGTGCGAACGGAATGTGAAGGTCGTGGCAGAATGACCACACACGGACCGGATCCTTTGACATGGTCGAGGTCATCCGTTGCCCGCGCCATCGCCCCCGACTTGTAGCTCCCTGTGGCCTACATAAAACATATTCAACATATATGAAGGGCGGCGGTGCGGCATGATTGAGAAATGAAACAGCGGAATCCTGCGCCTATGCCAGGTAATCAAGCGCCTATGCCAGGTAATCAAGGTAACCAATTTGCTGCGGGCTTATAGCCATGTACTTTGTCGGTGCATGGATGTTCAAAACCTCTGAAAACTCATGTGTATCCATCCGTAATGGTTGATCGGTTCTCGATCTGCCTACCGACCTGGTCCGAATGGGGACAAAAGAGAGTGGTGGTTGGAGTTGGGGACACAGCTCAAGGATTAACGCCGTTCAGAATCAACAACTCCACCGTCTTCTTCTGCTGGTGTTAACCCGATCCTGTACGCGCATAGCATACTACAGTCCAGTACTGGTTTCTTTGTTAGCTTAGTACACTAGGTACTGTACTATACTCTATACACTAGACGAAATCTATCCCTCATAGTCCTAAACCTTGTAAGAATAGATTAAAATAGCTAGTATAAATTATGAAAGGTATTGGTACAATTTGATATGGCATTTCGAATATTACAAACAGCGTATCCAAGGTAAGATCACATATTGATTAGCTATGAAAACGCATAGGAAAGTTGACACGACGTCTCGAACTAACAAACAAACCAGTACTGGATTGTACACTACGTACATGGTGCACGCATCTGCACCATCAGAATACCGCCGGATCGAACAAGAAAGCGAATGGAACCACTTTCCATCACCAACGCGGGTTTACGAATCCGAAGGACGGATGAGCAACAAACTTTTCGTACCTTGAAGTTGCGGAGCCTTGTCTCGAAATATCCATCCTGTCGGCGCTTTTGGAATTTGAACGCCACAACTTGGGTTATCTCAGCCGTCTCGGACTTTCTGGGCACGAGTACGCGCAGTTCCAAAAGCCTTGGGTTTGCCATGCTTGCAAACCATGTCTTTTGGAGCTTCATATTGCACGGGATTCTCGTTTGAAATAATAAAAATCAATAGTAGCTGGAGAATCAATTGCTTTTTACCATAGTAGGTCCAGATAGGTGCCGCGGCTGGATCAAAGTTTCTTGATTGCCTGTACCCCCCGACTTGGTTTGGTCTTTGAAATCTTGCTGTAATCAGCACTCTCGATGTATGGTGAGGGAGGGGTATACACCCACTTTGTCGCATCGCTTGCGCTTGGGTTGGGTAGGAGTCGGAGTCGAATCGGAAAATAATGTTGGTCGGCGACTGCCTGGGACCATTGGTGCTTCAAAGCAGCATCATCGTATGTCGTCAGCCCGCGTGAATGAAAGGAAGTGGCCTTCATTCTCAGTGTCATGCAGATCCTACGATGTTGAGCGACGCCGTACAATAAAAAAAAAATAAAATAAAATAAAAAAAAAAAATAAAAAAAAAATAAAAAAAAAAAATTAAAAAAAAAAAGAGCTGCGTGTTGCGGAATTGCTACCTCCAGCCTTCTTTTCCAGCTCTGCCAGCTTGCCAGCCTCTCCACCCTTTCCAGGATCCGGCGTTACTAGCGTCTGGTTTGTATGGGACCATTGAGCTTCCGAAGTCGACAAGCGAAGTCGTTCAATACACCAAAGTACTTGATGAACTGGATCCCCAGTACATGGAGGTTCCGGGGCATGCACACCCGGGGAACCTTGACCTGGGTTTTGTGAGCAGTATCCGTTTTGTGTTAGTTGCAAGCAGGCAGTCAGTCGGCCATCATCGGTCCTGATTGCTTTCAAAGCGAGGTAGGATTTCCCATTTCATTACACATACCAAGCAAGACGATAATGAGCATGAAGCGGCGAAGACCACTTTTCCTTGGCCTGGTGCACAGATTATTGGCAAGATAAAGGGTGGAATCCAATTCCATTTCTATAGTTCGAAACACATTGTAACCGGCATGGGGGCACGGTCAAAGGACTGCAACGACAGGAATTGCATGTTGGCAACCGAACTCGGACAAGAACATGAGGGACAATTGACTGCGGATGGAACGGCTTGGGCGGTACATTTTGCCCAGCTATCAAACGCCAACGAGACAATGACTGAGGCGGTCCGTGGCTCTCCTTCTCAGCCTGGTTAGCGTTTCTTTTGGTGTTGGAGCCAAATATGATGAATAACCAACCCAGTAGGATATCACATCCGTATCCGTCTGGTGTTGTATAATTTTCCTTGTGCTCTGCTTCTGCTGATGAAGGGATGGATGGATGGATGGGCACGACGGATGGGATATGCTGCATACCTTATGATGTCCGTCCTCATCTTGGCTGCGACACGTACTGATTCATTTAATAACAAAGATCATGACTTTTTCAATTTGCTCGCCTTAGATACTCAGGCGCCTGCCTTTATGGACAAAGCCAGAGACAGAAAAAGACATGGAAAGGCAAGCGCCCATTCCACCCCTTCCTTCCCTTGAGCCCGTACAGTGTGACAAAAGATTGTTAAGTTTTGTCGCTGGTCCGTCTTCTTTTCTCGCTTTCGATAGCATTTGCAGCAATGTGGAAGTGGCCCAAGGTGGTCAGCCGCTTTTCTCCCAGGCGAGCTGCCAGTGAGACACGCCAGACAACAACAACAAGCAAGCTGCGGTTAGTTTGATTGGATTGGGATGTATCATGTCATGTCACACTGGGGGTGGTATTTCGAAGCCCGTTTTCTCTCACAACACAACGTCTTTTTTTTTTTTTTCGTTATTGTCACGGTCGGTCGAGTCAGCCAACTGTTGCAGTGGGCGTAATGGGAATTCAACTCCAAACAACAAAAAGCAGCCGAGCAAGTTGCAACCAAGAGCCGGGCGCTCCAACTGCAAGTTGCATGGCTGCATGGGTGGATGGCCTCTCTCGCGAAATCTCAAATGAATGGAGCGTCCGCTCGCCCACCCGCGCGCGCCCCATCGTCAAGTGACGCGGACGGGCACGGCAGGGTGGACCCGGGGAAGGGTACTTCTACACTACAAGTAGGGGAATGGTGGACAGCCGTCGACCAGCCAGACATTGCAGTGGTGTCGCTATCGCCCGCCGGAGTGCCCTGTGACAATTGGCAATTGATTCGTTCTCGAGCTAGTTGAGTGGTGTCTCTTTTTTTTTCACTTTGACGCCGCGTTCCAGTCCCTTGTTCCCCAGCAACTCAACTACCTACCCAGCACTAACAATGCCTACCTAGTATTGCTGGCAAATGCTGGCAAAATGCGTCGCCGGATTGCTGTTGCATAGGCAGGTATGTGCCGCCGCGCTCTGCACTGCGTAACATCAACATCCCATCCTCATCAATACGCCCCTTTTTTTATCGCACATTAAAACTTCATTCGGCAATGAAAGGCAACTGCTTTCTCGACCGGACCTCATAAAGTCACATCAGTCATGTGGCTTGTATAACCTCCCGGCGGAGCCTTGTCATCGTCTTCGTCGGTTTCGCCTCCCCATGCCTGCTCGGGTTTCTCTTTGGTCTTTTGGTGATCTCGATCTCAAAGCTAGATGTTTGCCGCTTCCGTCGTGCCCGTGATGAGCGCAAACTCTTTGTTTCGTGTAATGCCGTCTTGCCGTCACGTCTCGATATGACCTAGCAGGGCTTGTATATGCTAATAATCTGTTTGCAACTCTTTCGGCGGGCCACTGCTTTGAGGGAGAGATGTTTCGAAAGTGGCGGGCCTGAAAGCATGGATTTGATAGACACCACTTTCCCGTACTGCACTGTTAATCTGTGGAAGGGGATAGACAGGTCACACCCATTATTTATCCTTTACAGATCGTATTCGATTGAAACATCGTTGGCGCAGGCTTACCGCCCACCTCTGTGGTATTGGGCTGGTTGTCCTCTTTGGTTGAGGATTTCCTAGGGTCCTGGCTACATAACACGACTTCCAAACCATCACCATTTCGCTTGATTGCAAGTTTCCCTCCTAATACATTTGATGTAACAAGAAATTTCACCTGCCCCGCGGGCTCTGGTCAATTCGAGAAGCCATTTCCGGTCAAACACGACAGCATCAGGTCCAAGCACCATATCCGCTACGACGGCCTTGACTGATGAGGGCCTTCAAAGCCGAGCATATGGCCTGCATCTTTGCTATCATTTGAGGAAACTTCGAGACCACAGTTGACTCCGAAAACATGGCTTTTTTTGTCTGTAGGCATTCATGCAACGAATGGCTTGGGGGCGAAAGCACCCTGCTCCAAGTTCGTAAATCTATCACCAGTAAGAATGTGAAGAGTAGGCCCTCCGACCTGGTCTCGCCCGTGGTGACGGATGCTACCATGATACCATTGAGGTGACCTCTGACTGAACATCTCGCTGAAACCTGTCATGAAAGTATTCAATATGGCGGGTTGTCAGTAGCAACTGCCCGAAAGCATGTCCCCTACTTTCAGCTGAAGCGCCTAGCAGCACTATAAATAAGAATAAATTTAGAACTACCTCGCATTCATGCCCAACTGCGGCCATCGAGATGAAAGCAGTCGGTTTGAAAAGCGAATTGAAAAGAAAAACTGATAAAAGCCTCGAGTTCCCACTCGGAAAGTGAGGCAAAGACTAGCCGTCGATCTGTGTGTGGGAGTCTCCGTCATGCCACCAGCAGGCATAACCTGAGAGAGTGCATAACAGGGTGCACGGGCCATGCGTGACTGAGGTCATTCGCGGAGCCTTCGGTCAATCTGTATAGCATCGGCGTTGGTGTCGCAAACCGCCGGTGCTTCCCGTCTCCCCAACTCCGAAACCGTCACGGGCAAGAAGATGATCTTTGCGCTAAGCAGTAGGTCCAAGTTTGAAGCGGGTGGATGGCCCGCGGGTGAATGAACTTGCATGCTCGACGCCTCACTGAAGACGGTCGAATTCAATCGCGGGTTTCATCTCGTCCTGGCGCGAATTTGGAGCCATCCTTGCACCACTCCTCACCACTTGAGACCGGTGATCACCGACGGCAACGGTCATTTTTTCCCCATCGGATCACATGGCGGTTTGCAATGAACTGGGCCTCTCTAGACACCCTCGCAGTCCAAACCCCAGTCAGCATTGCGTATGAGTGACTAAACTAGGGCAAACCACTGTCGTAAAGGTCAGTCGAAGGTCGGCTTGAATGGGATTATATCGATGGATCTAGAACTGCGATATCGGCTTCGTCGATGGGCAATGCGCGTACCACAAAAGCCCATTGTGTAGGTAGGCTGAAAACGTGGGCAGGATTTTCCATGTCCGTCAATGGCCACTGGGAGTACGCCGAGTGCGCCGAGTGTGCCGAGTGATGGGTGGCAGGATGGTTTGGGCTCGGGTTAGTCGGGACCCTGGATGGTCGATACATGTGCCTTCTTTTTTGGACCGACAATAAACAGTATTTCAGCGTTTGGAAAGTGTCTTTGTGGTACGAACCTGACATAAATGACCTCGTAGCCTGCCTATCTGGAGGCAACAACCGGAGTAAAACACGGCTTCACAACCGAAACAGGGCGCGATTCAGGCAGAAACAACGGCATGTGAACTCAGCTGTTCGAGGTGATGGTCAAAAAGACAGGACGACGATGGCGCAAACCCCATGTGCTTGGGGCTGATAGGCTGGCGGAAAACGACCAACAGACAAACATGTGCGTGCCTCTCTGTACGCGCGCGTCCCCGTTTATATGAGTCGAGGCCTGCGAGCGACATTGGCCCAGACATGGAGCATATCTTATGTTTGCCCTCGGTTGTGTCTTTGGTCTCCTAACGTGAGGCGTAGTTTGACTTCAACCACCGTTACCCCACGCTCTATGTCAGCCACTCCGCACATTGCCCATACGCGCTCTGCCACAACTGGACGTGATAGAACGGTGGGTGACCTGCACGTGGAGGCATTCTGGGTGGCTTTATTCATCGAAACCAAAACCAAGAAAGTCCGTACTACCGATTGTGCTTGGTCAAGTCGCATCGGAGAGCAATTGTTGGATCATGAGCCTTGTGACGGTAAAGTGGAGTTGGTGATGTCGGAGGTGGTGACAATGTAATCATTGTTCGGGTCAGAGTGGTTGCCGCGCATGTCCAATAAGGCACAGTAATCATACTGAATGAATGTACTGCCTCCGTATAAGCCAGTGTATCGATCGACCTTTGTCTCGCTTATCACGCAGACAGCCCAGCGCATGCATGTAACTCGGCAAGTCAGTTCCAGTCTGTGCAGGTATCAATTTGGCATGGAGAAAAGCCTTCATGAGAGATACTCATCTTTATACGTCCCATCTTGTGTCATGGAATAACATCGTGACGGCAGACATTACTGGAAACACAACTGGGTTTTAGTTCAAAGCGGACGTCTACGGGTGTGCGCATGCAAGTACCATCGTATGCGCAACACAGCAACTTTTCCAAGGCCACTCGGACTTCTAATCCTGCCGATTCTCGTGCGGAAACAATTTTGTTTGTGGCCTCCACCAAAAGGAAGCTGTGGTGCGCTTTAGCACAATGCCCACTCCATAGTACATACGCACCGCGTAGATATTCAGGGATTCCGGGTTGCTTGTGGTCCCTTTTGTCCGATGGCGAATTGGGAAATGACGGGCTTCGTGATGGATGCCTGCAGCCCGGACTGATTGTTGAAGATCAAGAAGAAAGAGAAGCGAACCTGGATGTCAGATGCCGTGCAGTGGTGGTGTGAGGTTGCCTCAATGGGGACTGGCAGGCTGGAACATTGTATCCATTTGAGACGTGATAGTTCTCCGTCCAGGCGGCAGCACAAAACTTGCACGGTTTCCACCATGTTTCTGCCTCAGTTTCCGGAGTCGCAGCACTTCGCATGAGAGTGGTGATCAGGAATTAGATCCAGATTGACGCCTTGAACGGCAGGCAGAGCAGATTGTCGAATACCTGCTTTCACACGCCGATGAATGGTTGAATTCAAGGCATTGCACTCTACACTTTGCTAAGCTTCAGTTCTCCGTGTGTTTTAATCGGTAGCTAGGCTATTACTACTGAAAGCGCAATTGGAAAGAAAAATGGGTAGGTATTCATGAGAATGTAGGGTAGGAACATTGTGATTTGATTCGATCGTGATTGGTTTGTGAAACAGCCGAGTTGACTTCTAGACTGTGACCAGTGCAGCTACAGAAATGTGCACCTACATCAGCGCTCTCAAACCAATATCTTGTAGCAGCTCAGGCGACCGCATCTTCTTGCCGTGTCAAGGGCTCGAATGTCACGTCAAGGGGGGAACCATCAGAAAACCAAACCCCAACGTCGGCGATAATTTCAAGTGCTGACTGGCCGTTGGTCGAAGAAGAGGCACGGAGCAGGACGCTGCTTTGAACAAGATTGTGAAAGAAAACCAAATTTCTTGCAATTTGTTGACATCAATCTGGACAGGGAGACTCGTCGAGGGTTTCCACCTGGTGCTTCTTTTGTTTTGTTTGGACCTGCGCCTCACTGGTCTTTCTGGCCATTGACTTTTTCAGCCATAGGTACCTATTCGTTGCAGAAGAACACGAAGTGGCCGTGAGGAACCACTTTAGCATCTATGAGCACCCCCGCGAAAAGAAAGGCCTAGTCTCCTGTGCCAGGAACTCCTGCGCCCTATGGTCGAAATAAAGGCGCCGACGCCTGGATTCGCGTCTCCGGGTCCCTCACCGGATGCGCCTGCGTCTCCTACTCCTGGAACACCCGCACCTGTTGCCGATGAATCGGCCCCGCCGGCGGGCATGCTGACCGGTGTACACTTGGGTCCAAGTTGGGTTACTAGAAGATAATAGACTCGATGCTGCTGATGGTACTGAATAAATCGAGACCTTGGAAGTCTTCAGTCATGCTGCCGAGCTCATGCTCGGAAAATGGTATCTAGCGCCCATCGAAAAGGGCATCAAATATGCGATTGATCTCGGTACTGGTTCGGGGCTCCTGGCAATTGATCGATGGATTTTCCGAAGGTAAGGCCATCGGTACCGCGATTTCGCCCATCCAGCCTAAATTCGAAATGACAGGCGCACCAATACAGAGGTACCTCTATGGACCTCCAAGCCCGACTATTTCGACTACATCCATATCCGATTCTTGATAGTGCTATCCCTGACTGTGGTGCTTCATATAAACAACTGTACAGGGTATGCAAGCCTGGAGGCTGGATTGAACACGTTGACATCACAGCTACCGTGGGCTGTGATGACGGAACCGCCGTTACTGGGTCTGCATTAGAGCAGTATGGAAGGCTGTCCGGGGAGGCTGGAAAACGCCTTGGATTAACCCAGTCAGTTTCAGGGAATAACTTTTCTTCAGGAAAACGGCTTGGAAAAGGCTGTGTTTGTGCATTGGAAGGTACAGGAATCCAAGTAAGTCCATTTCGTCCCAAAAGCCAAACAGCAGTGCATTATACTGATTCGTGATTCAAGATGCCAGTCTTCTCTTGGCCCACAGGATCCGAAGCAAAAGGATGTTGGACTGTACGCCTATGCTGAAGTGTCTTCAGACATTCAGGGCATCATTCTGTTCACATTTGGCTGAATTCTGGGGTTGTCGCAAGCAGAGATGACGACATATACGGCCAATCTTCGCCAGAAACTCAAGGACACGAGCATCCACATGTACTACAAGTGAAGGCTTCTTTATGCCCAAAAGCGCGAGTGAATCCACAGGAGGAAGGCTAACTCAGGTAAAGGAAGGGGTTGGCAGCGTGGGCAGGGCAGAAGGGCTGACAGGCTGAATCTGAGCCAGTGATCCGGTTTCGAGTGTGCAAGAGACATAGCTTTCATTCGTAGCTCAGAGAATGGAGCATCTTTTGTCGATATCCCCCCACAGATTGCTGTCAGCGCAAGACTCTGAGGGAGGTACTTATACGTATTTCACATCATTCAACCATGAGCGATTCAAGTTGCAATTTCTGACCAGCGCAAAGGTACAGAAACACATTCCACTCTCGGTTGCGTAGATATCAAACCAGACAGAGTTCGGTCTTGAGCTCGTTTTAATCAGCTTCATCATCTACCTACAGTCTTCTAACAGTGAAACCTTCATGGGCAACACCGGCGCTTATACCTGCCTATGACTACGGGTGAGTCAAAAACTGAAATATCAATAAGCCATTATTGTCAAACCAGATGATCCGTTTCCTTTGTTTCCCTTTCATCATCAACACTACTTCAGCTTCAAGGATAAATAGTGAGGTGGTTGGCTCCGGAGAGCGGAGTGAAAATCGGCCACCTACAGTAAGGAAGGAAGTCGGACTGTCATCTCGAGATTGGAAAGGCCATGATCTTCCCTGACGACAACACGTACTCGACGCCGAGACTCTTGCCCGTCAAAGTGTCCAGTACTATTTAGGAGTAGCCTTCCCTCCGGGATTATATCGAGGCATTGGCAGGATACTTGGACTATGCCGACAGCCGGTAGTAGTTGCGCAACGGCTCGACGAGTCCCGAAAGGGCAAACTGGTGTGGTAAATGGAACGATTTGTTAACAGGCAGAAGCAACGAACCGCAATCTCTCATACCCGCATTATTCCCAAGACATGATATGCCAATGTGTGTTGCTCTGGTCCGGGTTTCGGACCTAGACCTCGGGGCGGAGGACTCAAAGAGGCACGGCGGGTCCAGGCGGATGACTGGGTTGAGCGCAGCACACCGTGTTTGCTTGGAGCTGTCAAACCAGATAATGTGGATGCACCTCGCCTATGTTCCTCCAGGCCCATGACTTCCGCTTTGTACGAACTCCACGATCCCGTCCTGCAGGAAAGATCCTCCATCACCAGTAACGTGACTGGGCCTTTGCGGCTGCCAACCTCAGTTCCTAGCTGATGGGAAGGTAGCTAAGCGGTTGAGGCTTCACTTGCCCGCCATTTTGTCCAATGTTATTGCCATGATAGTCAACAACCTCCATCAATCAAGCTAGGCAGCTTACAGGTCTCGGTGTAGGAGCCCGTTGCTCGATAAACAGAACGGAATAGCCTCCATCGCTCCTTCCGTCTCATCAGTTCACCGCTCACAAATCGGTACGAGGGAGATTAAAGATTAGTGGCGAGGATGTATGGGCGGAGATTGGAAAAGATGCGGGCATGATGGATATTCGAGTGCAGTGGAAGTCTTCTTGGGTATAAGAAGGAACTACTTCTCGCACCAGAATTTGCAATTTTTCAGTTGCTCTCAAAGACAAGAACAGAACTTCGAAAGGTCGTCAAGAGCACCTACCAAACTTGCAGTTCTCGAATTCAACCCAGCAATCTTTCCACACTTCCTTCCCCAACAGCTTCTCCAGCAATCATGACTTCACCGGCGGATCCTCATACCAGAACCTGGTCTCACATCAACGGATCATCTCAAGACGTACTTGACCGCTATGCCGTTACGGAGCTCTGCAAGGGCTGGCCTGTGTATCGCGACGCGTCGGAGTGGATGAACTACCGCTCCCTCTTCACGGATGATGCCTGTGTGTGGACGAGTACGTACCTTAGCCAGCTCACGAGGTTACCTGGCAGGTTAGGTCATTTTGCTAACCTATCAAACCCATAGCCTGGAGCAGCGACTTGCCGGTTGACAAGTTCATTGAAGTCTCCAAGGAGGGCAAGAAGAACGGCGTCTTCATCATGCACCGCGAATGCGGCACTCTGGCCGAGCTCGGCGACAGCCGTACCCGGGCCATTGGAAAGATGAAGGCAACCATCACCCATCGCTTCAACGAGGGCGACGTGGCCTATGATGTCGACTGCGACTGCCGTTTCATATTCTTTTGCGAAAAGCAGGCGGCTACCCAAGAGTGGAAGGCCAAGTACGTCAAGCTGTTCTATGAGAAGGACAAGGTAGTGCCAGTCGATGGCCAGACTGTACCTAAGTGGGACAAGTCCGAGCTGAGCACGTATCCGGAGGGATATCGGCACCTTGCGATGGCGCAAGCCAAGCTGGGATACAAGATCGACGTGAACCTTCCTACGCCGCACGACAAGGGACTGTGGAAGCGCATGTATGGTGAGATGGAGAACTGGTTGGAAGGCAGAGAGGTTGACCTCCACTGGGCCTAGGACTGATCAAAGAAGTGGAGATCGGATTTTCATGGTAGTAACCGGTAATCGACGTTGCGGTTCGAGTGGCTTTCGCGAGTCGTTGGGTTCCTGGCTCTTTGCAAGTTGAGGACAAGATAGACATCACTCGGCAATAATACACAGTACAAAGCATTGCGTTTCGTCCTACCGGCAAAGTTTCTTGATCAGGCTTCAGTAGACGGCAAGATAGGGCACTTGAGTACACCCGAGCTAGAATTCATACTGGAAGGGAGGTCTAGGGGTATGGAGGGTATGGAGACGTTTATATAGTGACCGACACATACTGCGTAGTAAAGAATTGCTCACTCCAGACTGGCAAAGATCGACGGCAGGCATTTGCATCACATGTTGTGATCTGACGCACACGGGCTCTTGGCATAAGTTGAGGTCGCCAGAGACACAATCGCGGCTTGGGCGACGGGATCATGATTCGGCTCAAGTCCGGATCGGCGATGTGGAGTAAGTCCGGGAGTGAGCCGGGTTTCTGGAGGCCGGAAAGCCCGTCCTAGACTACAATAGGTAGTCTACAAGTAGAGGTAGGTAGTGTACAAGTACAGATTTAGAGCATGTCAACGGCCCTGGAGAGGGCTGGATCAGGGAGCTTATCCATTATCTAGGTACGTACTATGTTATCAGTTATGACCCACCCCCTAGGTTCTACCTACTTGTACCTACCTACCCCGCCAACGACAGACACCGCTCACGGTGACGATCGCGTCCAGCGGTTACTTGTATACTTAGTGATGGTTAGTCCCCTAACAAAGTTGAAAGCCGACGCCTGCCAGCAACTCTCGCCGCAACTTGCGATTTCTTAGCCAAGGTGTGTACAATCCTTATCGCCGGAGCTATCTCCAACGGGCAGTTCAGGTTAACCGTGAAAATTTGCAGCAATCTACTTCGCCATCGATTCTCCCTCCACCGAACACAAATATCATCGCAATGTCGGACGGCGTCAAGCACATCAACTCGGCCCAGGAGTTTGCGAACCTCCTCAACACAACCCAGTACGTCGTCGCTGACTTCTACGCCGACTGGTGCGGGCCTTGCAAGGCCATTGCGCCCATGTATGCCCAGTTTGCGAAGACCTTCTCCATCCCCAACTTCCTCGCCTTTGCCAAGATCAACGTCGATAGCGTCCAGCAGGTTGCTCAGCACTACCGTGTCTCCGCCATGCCCACCTTCCTCTTCTTCAAGAACGGCAAGCAGGTCGCCGTCAACGGTTCCGTCATGATCCAGGGCGCCGATGTCAACAGTCTGCGGGCCGCTGCCGAGAAGATGGGCCGTCTGGCAAAGGAGAAGGCTGCTGCCGCTGGCTCGTCGTGAGGTTCGGAAAGGAAAGAAAACAAGACCAAAGAGATCAAAGGCATTCAGAGCATCCAGTTGTGGATCAAGTGTAGATACTACTACACTACAGCATGGACATTTGCGTCTGACTATTTTCGGCGGGGGTTGGAAATCAGCTGTTGCTGAGTGAACCGAATAGAAAACTGTCAGTTGTTCAGGTTATGATGTCATGGGATCTTCGGGCGACAATCTGATAAGTACCTCTACCATGGATGATCACACCGTGACCCTTGAGCCCCAATTTCTGCCAGATACTTACTATTATATACACTACTGGATAGTACACAGTGATCAATCACCTCCGCCCTTGACTCATTTTGACCCTGTCAGTCTGCCATCCTGCAAGACCTTTCTTTTTCTTGGCGTTTCCCTATATCAGCATAACACTCCATCGTGACCCCTATCTGCCACACCACTATTCAACAGCATTATGTCGACCTCACGTAACGGCGAGAGACATGGCAAGCAAAAGTCTCGCGACACAACCCCAGAGAGCTATCTTGGGAGCTCACCAGACAGAGGCGACTCCCATGTTATCCAGCAATATCAGCCACAAAGACTTCAACAACAGCAGCAATCGGTTCAAGGGACAACAAGAGGCAGTCGCAGTGGCGCTCTTGCCGTTAGGCTCGATATGGACTTGGATATCGACTTGCAACTGAAAGCAAAAATAAAGGGAGACGTCACACTTTCTATACTGTGAGTCCCGATCACGTCCTTATGAATTGAATTCACGGCTAACCGATCTATGAACGGCAGGGAAGGAGACCAGGAATGATTCTCGACAGTGACTCGGAAGGATGACTTGAAATTCAATATTTTAATTTGTTAGCCTGCACATAGTTGTGTTTTCTAGTCTCAGTATGCTTCTTGCGTTCCAGTATCAACTGTTGTCATCACAGTCAACTATCAGGTGATACCTCCATCACCAACGCATGTGGCACCGCAAGCCCGTGAGCAGGCAGCTACTCACCATCCCCATTCATCCCACCACTCCTGACACGAGGCCTCTTTGTCGGAAACCAATCTGTTTCTTACAAGATGTATATGCAGACTGGTTTGCGACCTCATTTGCTCTTGCGAGTTTTCGCTCCTTTTCAAATATTCCCAGTCTATACTGAATAGACAACACCACTCAGTCATTCCTATTCGGATCAACCAAACATCATCGTCAACATGCCTGGAACTCGCTCGCACAGGTCCAGGGGTAAACCGTCGCTCCTTAAGCGATCATCAACAAGGGGCAGTAGCAACAATGAAACTCGGGAAATCATCCAACAACTTGCCCGCGCTGCTTTGGTCTACTCTCTCAAGCGTCTGACCAGGCAAGACTTGGCCGATAAAGGCAGCACATCACAGCAAAAACTACGGTCAAGATCCGCTCATGAAGACAGCCAACCCCACGAGCGCGACCGCGGCACAACAACCAAAGCACGAGACAGCAGCGGAGCTAGCCACCGCAGTGACCGAGACCGAGACGGCAGCCGCGATGGCAACGACCTCCACGACGTAATGGGTCAACTAGCCGTTGGCATCCTCGGCTTTGGCATCCGCCACTTTCTCCATCAGCGCAAGAAAAAGGAAAAGGAGGAGAAGAACAAGATCAAACCTCCCTTGTACGCCACCACTGCGGCAACACAAGGGCCACCACGGCGGCCGTCGGGTGAATACCCATACACTAGCTACGCCGACTATCTGGCTGCTACCAGCAACCACACTGGAGCCAGCACCAGACCCAGATCACTTCCCACCGATGATCCGGAGCCAACAGCAATAAGCCTAGCAACAACGCTTGACTCACTCAAGAAGGAACTGCGAGCGACTTCAGAAGCACTGGCGGATCTTGTCAATAAGCCTCCATCGCAGAATAAGAAGTACAATGTACATGAAGCGTTGGCGAAGAGGGCAGAGGGCATCAGGGTGTCGTTAGACAATCTGGAGATGGCGGTCAACAATGTGAGGAACTTGCATCCTGAAATCGATGAAGACCGCGGTGTGCATGGAGGGGTTGGAGAGGTAGATGATGGGGAGGGGAAGGAGAGAGGCGGTAAGGATCAGAAAGGAAAAGGAAAGGAAGGTGAAGTCAGGAAGGAGCAAGGTGATGAGAACGGGCGGGGCGAAAAAGACGGTAGAAGTAGGGAACGGGAACGGGAAAGGGTGCGTAGGAATCGGGAGAGCAAGCCAAGGAGGTCGGTTGGGTTTGAGGATGATTTGGGTCGGTACGGATATTCTAGGGGAAGTGAGCGAAGGGACTACAGGCGAGGAAGGAGACAATCAAGGTAATGTTTTGGTATGGTCAAGCTGTTGACTATGTCAGCTTTATTTCTCTCTCTTTTTTTTTTCTTTTTTTTCTTTTTTTTCCTTCCTCTTTTCCGACGTTCACACGGCCCCTTCTTTCTTTTCTTTTCTTTTCTCTTCTTTTCTTTTTTAAGTTTTTTTTTTTTCGGGAGAGGAGAAGGAGGAGAAGGGGAAGGGGGAGAGAGGGGGGAGGGGGGTCCTTTTCAGGGAAACTTTCCTTGTCAGATGATCCCTACCAATGTACGTGCATATATACCCAGCTATACAATCAAGCAGCTATTTCCAGTCGCTTTTAACCTCTGCAACCAGTTGATTCCATCATCGCCCTGTTGCGCTGCCAAATCCTTCAACCTCCAAATTTCCTGCAACATCTCCATCGCCGTGTGCACGTATCCCCACGGATACGTCCAAGGATTCTTTGTCCAAACCGCCACCAACCGCTCCAGGCACCAAGCCCTCTCATTCAAATCGTCCGTCTCTGCGCCAACAACAAAAGTCGGCCATACCGTTCCTTTCAAGTGGACGTGATTATCTGGGATGCAGGACAAATGTCCAAGAATTTCCTGCACCAGATCCTTGGGCTCTAGCAGAGGTATATCGAGCAATCCAGCCTCGGGAACCGACAACAAGACGAACAGACAGGCTGCCGCGCGGTGTGCTGACGCCACGCTTACCCGCGCTTCCAGGTCGTCATCCGGTGGCAGTCCCTTGATATTGTACACCCATGTCTGCACGTCAAAGTTGCGCGCCTTGTGAAGCAACGCCGCCGCGGTGACAATCCTCCCCGCCCCTCCATCTGTTTCCGGCGTTGTGGAGCTGCCGCTACAGAGTTGGCTTGCAGAGAGAATAATTTGGAGGATAGCCGGTGGTGCGCAATGGTAGCTGTAGGCCTCGGCGTTCTGCAAAATGTACGGCAACACGACCCCGTCATCGATGGTATTGTCCGACCACGACGAAGTGTTGCCGCTGATGGTTGAGCCGTATATGCGATAGGTAAGACAGTCGGCGGCGATGGCGTTGACTAGGGGGGCGATGGCCCCGTCAAGGTGTGCCTTGGTCAGGTATAGGGATGATATCAGACGCCGGGCGGCTTCAACATGGGCCTTCCAGCCTCCTCGGCCGGAGTCGATGAGATCAAGATTGACAAGGAAGACGATGGCGGAAAGAATCATGGCCTTGTCCGTGAGCGTGTTGTCATTGATGGCGGCGCGAAGAAGGTGAAGTGCCCGGGACTTGAGCATCAGTGCGTCTACTAGGGCGGACTCCGATGGTAGACTTCGACCTTGGTACTTGTGAATCGTAGATAAATGCATGGCTGCCGTTGCTAAGACGACCGACTGGAGGTAGTCAAACTTGCGAACCAAAGGGATGATGGCCCGGAATGGATTCCGTTCCTTCTGGTCAATGGAGACCAGGTCTCGACAGACAATCGTGGCAACTGAGGCGTGTGAGGGTCAAAAATTCATGCTGACGAGTGAGACAAACTTACAATGATGCATGTACCATCTTGCCTTGGTTGAGAGACCGTTGAGGAGAGGATCTGTTAATGGAATCTTGATGAGGTTGACGGGGCGCTTGATAATTTGTGAGCTTGGATCTGGGTTATCATCTGGTGCTCGCGGTAGAGGGTCAACATTGTCATCGATTGGTGTCTCCACTGAGAAGCTGTCGATGGTTTCCTCTAGGGTTGGAGACAAGATGCGGGTGTTTGTGGCAGACGTGGTAGTACTACTACTAGTGTGATTGGGTGCTGAGCTACTAGTGACATCGGTATCAAGTTGTCGAGGGCTGTCGCTTGGTGTTGGAGCTTGTGTTGGCGCAGATGATTTGACGGTTCGTGGTGTGGTGGTGTTGGTGCCGTTGAAGTTGGTCTTGTTAGTGGTCCTGGTGGTTGTGGTGGAGGTTGGTGAATTACAGGCGGCCCAACGCAGGACGATGCCGTAGCCAAGACATTCCTCGCCGTTGATGGAGCATTTGAGACAGGCAGGCAGCGACTTGTCACAGCGAAGACGTTTCCGATGGCAGTTGTAGCATGCCTTAGTTTTCGAAGCCTTTTGGTGGTGAGGCTTCTTTGGCGGCATTTTCTTCAGAGCCATGGCGGCTGTTCCTGTCACCATGACGGCGGTCTTGGGAAGGGTGTTTGCTTGTCTTGCGCCAAGAGTGTCTTGTAAGAGCTGTAGAGACAAAGATGGGACTGCACGAACAGGCACTGCTTGGCTTCTCGGCGCATGAGGTGTCACCCAGGTCAAGATGAGAGCCAGGACGATAGCCTTATCATTCGTGGCTGGTATGGCGATGGGTAGATGGCCATGGGTGGTGATAGTGTAGTAGTGGTAGCGTCTTGGTGGTTGTCATATCGGAGACAGGACGCTACCTTGGCTGTGCGAGGTTCCGTCCAGGCCCTCGGTGAGAAGTGCTAGTGTAATTCTCCAAAGTCATATAATTGAGAACTTGTAGTGTACAGTCAGATACCGGTTTGTTTGTTAGTCCGTAACCTCGGGCCAACTTGTCCAAGCGTCTCAACGACAGTTTGGTGTTTGATTCCAATCAAAATCACGCTGAAAAGAAGTATTAGTAAAACAAGTTGGACACTAATAATCCATCTGTGTATACATTCTACGTATACATTTTGAAGTAGTAGCTAGCCCATTGCAGCGTTCAGTATGGGTTGGTCTGTGTCTTATCCGGCGTACAAAGCTACTTAGGTAGGTAAGATAACAAATCGATTGTGGGGCGATGGGCTTCCCGACTGGCCCCAGTATTTTCCCCGCCAGTGTCCGACCTGGAGTTCGGTAGAGGCAGCTGCTGCCCGGGCCATGACGGGGGGGCCACGGGACCGCGGGCTCCTGACGACGGCCTGCTCGTGGCCGCCCTTTTTGGATGTAGCCAGAGCTAAGCCTGATCCGGAAGGGAAATAGCAGCAGGTGCATTAGCGCTTTTTTAATCCGCTTGGGAGACCAGAGATTCTTGAGCTCGTGTCAGTCACTTCACCGATTTCTTCACATTTTGACGCCAACCACTTTAGCGAGTCTCTTCATGTTCGGCGCATCTTATCAAGCCACCGCCTTGCAACAACCTTCGCCGACTTTTCTTCAACCTTCCGCCACTCTCGTCGTCATGGACTGACATTCATGACACATGGAAACCACCCTTTTCCGCTTGTTTTCCCTTTTTCTCCCCAGGGATCGGAACCCTGAGATACGTAGCACTATTCTCCTACGCCTTTGCCAGTCACCATGGGGAAGACCAAAGAGGATGCCAAGCCGTACTTGCTGCAGTTTTAGTTCACCCGGCTGGTGATGATGGAGCCTTTGTCATGTTGACTTTTTTTTTTTTTTTTTCTTTTTTTTTTGGCCAGAACAATTATGACTACAACAAATTCCGCCCGGACTTTGGAAGTATCCGGCTAACATTTGGGCCGGGGCACCTTGGCCCATGATCCCCAAATTTTGCAGCCAAGTGGGGACGCTCCTCGTCTGCGATTTGTTAGCGGAAGACAAGCTCCCCTCCCCATCGCCACCTCAAGGAGTTACTTTGTCTCCCTGCACCTTCATGTGTGTACGTTAGCAGACTTCTATTATATAGAAGGAGAAGGTCAATGCCCATTCTGTGTCATGTTCCCATCACTATCTATTCACAATATTTGATAACATTCTCGACAGTGTCACGCCCTGAAGCTGTGTACTCTGCTGCAAGATGGGCCAGCAAACACTAGAACAACAACAGCAACAACAACCACACCATCAGCAACCCCAACAACATCCAGAATCGTCCGAGTGTGAGAGCCCTTCTCAGGCACAGCAGGATGTCCAAGTTGACGCCACCACTGACTTCGATCTCGACCGCGTTGGTCGTCAACGACCCGCTGTCTTTTCGAGCACCTTGGAAGAGGTCATGTTCTGCGGCTCCATCCTCATTTCTATGCTCATGAGTGTGAGTTTGTTCGATACCTTGGCTCGTCACGCACTCAACTGACACATGCCACCTTGGCTAGGAATACTTTGTTTCTGGCTTCAATATCATTTTGCCTGGTCTCGCCGGGGCGCTAGATATTCCCAAAAATTCCCAAACATGGCCGTCCAGCGTCTTCTCCCTTGTTACCGGCTCTTTTCTCCTGCCATTCGGCCGCCTTGCCGACATGTATGGAGCCTACTTCATCTTCACCGGCGGCCTGGTTTGGATGTGCATCTGGTGTTTGATTGGTGGCTTTAGTCAGAACTATCAGATGCTCATCGTCACCAGAGCTCTTGCCGGTCTAGGTCCCGCTGCTTTCCTGCCTACTGGTTTGATGCTGCTGGGGAAGACCTATCGTCCTGGCCCGAGGAAGAATCTCGTTTTTAGTCTCTATAGTGCATTCGCTCCGCTCGGTTTTTTCATCGGAATTATCCTGGGTGGGGTCACTGGCGAGTATCTTTCGTGGCGTTGGTGGTTCTTTATTGGAACCATCATCCTGTTTGTGACAAGTCTGATGGCTTATCTCACCATCCCCAATGATAGACACCAGGCTGTTGCTAACCACGGAGGAGCCAAGATGGACTACTTCGGTTTGTTCACCATCGTTCCGGCTATCATTCTCATCACCTTTGCCATTACCACCGGTGGCTCGGCTCCAAATGGTTGGCGCACCCCTTACATTCCCGTAACGTTCGTTATCGGAATGCTTTTCCTCTGCGCCGCTATATATCTCGAGGGCTGGGTCGCTGAGCAGCCTCTGCTGCCAAAGGATCTGTTTGCCGCAAAGTATATGAAGAGGTTCACGCTTGCTCTCTTCTTCGCCTACGGAGTGTTCGGCATTTTCTTGTTTTATGCCAGTTTACAGTAAGTTCCCCACTTCCTATGGACTGAAAGGTACTCGAGCTGACCTGCTCCTCAGCATCGAGGCATTCATGGGTGCCTCCACCCTCCAAACGGCGACCTGGTTCGCTCCCATGGCTGGCGGTGGTATCGTCCTAGCCACCATCGGCGGCTTCACCCTTCATAAGCTTTCCGGTAGAGTGCTACTGATGATATCCGGAGGCGGTTGTCTTGCCAGCGTTCTTCTCTTTGCTCTCATCCCCGACCATGCCAATTATTGGGCCTTTGTGTTCCCCGCCATGCTCGGAGCCACCATTGGTGTTGATATCACATATCTGGTGTCCAACGTCTTCATCACTACCAATGTACCTGCGCACATGCAAGGTACTGCTGGCGCTCTCATCAACAGTCTTGTCTTCATTGGCATCAGCTTCTTCCTCGGTCTCGCCGATCTGGCTGTTGCTGAAAGTGAGGGCACGTTTGACGGCGAGAACCACAGGGTGGCCTTCTGGTTTGCAGTAGCCTGTGCCGCTTGCTCTCTGCTTCTTTTCTGCCTTATCGATCCCGGCAAAGCCGAAAGCGAACTTACCTTGGAGGAACGGATGGAAGCTGGACTTGAGCCCAAGAAGGAAACGTCTGCGTCCGGTTCGGAGTCGTCAAACCCTGAACCAGAGTACGAATAGAATGATCTTTCGTTTGCATAGCTTCGGAGTTCATGCTTGGTTTCATAGGTGTAGAACATCGGTCGACTTATAGAATTTGTCTTGAGTATATCATCAAGCAGAGCACACTATGCATCATATGTAATATGATCTGCTATATATTGATCATCCTCGCCGTTTAAATACTCAAAGCTCGTCCTTGAATCTTCCCTCGTTCAACTCCTTTCTTACTTTTTGACGCTCTCCTCTTTGCATCCTCCTTTCGTTTCTCCTGATGGTTCGATGCATCTTCTCCCACATCAATCGCGTGTGTTTTCCCTCTTCTGTCTCGGTGACGGCCATTGCCTCGATCTTAAATGTAATGTCTCGATTGCCGAGGTCCCGCCTGGGCTTTGTGTGGCTCGTAACCCATGCTATGACCGAGTGGTTAATGGCTTGAGTTTTGTTCTTGACGAGATTGTTCAGTTCGCCTATGGTGCCGGAGATGAGCACAGTTCTAAAGTCTCGAATCTCCTTGATAAAAGTACAGGGCACTCACGCTCGCATTTGCTGCCTTTAGAAACCCAAAGAGGCAATATTTCGTATATCGCACCAGCTGGAAACACCACGATCTTGTTCTTGGCGGAAATTGGCGAGGCCTTATGAGCATCCGCTGCCTCTCTTGTTAGGGCAGGCTTCACGGTTCCCGTTACTTTGTCAGTCTGGTTTTCGGGTTTTCTGAATACCGCAAACATCCACTTGCCATCGTCTGTCTTGCTGGTATCTCGCTGCTGGTTCTCTATCCAATCCCTAGCAGGTCCCGGCACACCAGCATACTCCATCACCACGATCTCACGATCGTGTCCCTTATGGTCAACCCCATCCCAACTGCCCATGTAAGACCGACGACCGAGAAAGTCCTCAATGGCATCATGCCACGGAGACAACCCTTCCGGTGGTTCTGTTAAGAGATCGCTGAGTTTGTACATCATGGCATGAAAGGTGCCCTCGGCTCGACAGTTCACGAGAAACCCACCCGGGTCGGTGCCGTCGTCGGGAAATGGGCGAGACCATCTGAAGGTGTCCACTATGCCGTATCCGTAGATGTCCCAGTTTGTGGCTGCAAGTGCAGCATATCGGATAGCGAGGGCTACGAAAAGCAGGTTGGCCTTCATTTCACAGAAGGAAATTGTCACTGACGCGAGAGAAGTTGATGTAGTTAGAAAGGCATGTCTTTCAACTAGGGCAGGCTTCGAGTACCAATGTTCACAACCTCCATGTGACGTTGAGGATATATGACATACGATTCAACACTCATAAGGGGTAACCAGACGTCGAATGTGTCCAACGTCATGACCAATCATAACAGCGTCGAACCACTGACTACTGGTGTCTCTCCATTATAACCTAATTGCCGCGAAGTTGCGATCTATTCCCGATAACCATTCGGCAAATTGCAGTCAATATTGGATATGAGAAAGCCTACGTGCACCCACCCCAAACCTTCCCATACCCATTTTCTCCCCGTGTCAGCTGTTATGTAAATTATCGTGTTTCAGCGGTATATCTAGTCGTTTTATATGTGTTATGACATT